GACTACCATTGACTCGTAGGTTAGTTGGCCCATTCAGTCTTCGTTCGTATAGAACTAATCTTTCTCCATCAGTTCTATCACTATAAACACCAAATATGTCTCCTTCCTGAAACTGCAGTGGAGTCTGAGGAATAAACTCATAGAGATTAGTACCAATCATTGTATCAGCATTAACTAAACTAGATCCTATTTTATTGTAATTATTGGGACCCAGTTGACGCCATATTTGGAGCTCAGGTTGACTTAAAGTCCCATTATTGTCCGCTCCAAAGATCCATTTAGTAACTGATCCATTACATGAGAATACAATCCATGGATAAATGAATTGGCTTTGGCGATAGAAAGGCTGTGATCTTTGTACTTCAAGTGCTTTCTCTTCAATAAATGAAGCATTGATTGAATTGGCACTATTAACACAGTATCCATCTAATGATAGTAAAATAATTCAATGATACAGTGAGTGTGTGTCTTACCTGTTACTGGATATACTAATATCAACCCATCAGTAGTTGTTAAACCATTCAAATTAACAAAAGATGATCCTATGAGTATATTTTGACTGCTACTAAAACTAATTCCGGCAATGTATCTGATTCTAACAGCACTGTTTGTTAGTTCTGGTTGTGATACAGCTAACAGGTCTCCACTCATTACTGGTATAGGAGGATTGAGTGGATATTCAAACACTCCACTAGTACTGACATTAGAGGTAGAATAATAAATAGTTCTCTCACTACCAGTCACTAGACTACCATTAGGTCTAAAGACCTGGACACTGGGATATAGTGTACCACTTCTTGAAACTTCTCTTATATTAATACCCAATATAAGACTGGTTATATTAGTGGATGAACAATTGAACTGATACTCTGTAAGGACTCTTAGTGTATTACTATCCACAAAGTCTTGAAGTGGATAAATTCCTATTCTCTCTGCTCCATACATCACTAGTGGTAGCTCCATAAACCTCTCTGTACATTGCTCAGTACCTATTAGGATAATAATAACAACATTTTAAAGATGATTTACTTTTTGGTAGTAGGACAACAAAGAGCAAAGCTACTGTACACAGCATCTTTATTCTGACCTAATTCTAACATGGTGACAAGATGCTATACAAACCTTATATACTCTATAGTCCTTATTAGGCTGTGAGCACACATCATAAAAATTGTGTTAATAATGTTTCTAAGAGAATATTTTTTTGTCTTCTGTTAGGGACGAGTTGCTGAGCTGAGTATCAGTCACAAAGACTTGGGAAAATTATGGAAACTTTTCACTGCTGTTAAAGCAAGATACATGGACAGACTGCAATGGTTGCTAACAGGTACTGATCAGTAGAAATGTATCACTGATTCAATGACTGATTGTAATATTTTGATCTTAGATAGTAGATATGTATTTGGTTGCATAGCAGGAAGGAAGGTATGATTAATTAATTTGATGTGAGTTTAATGTATGCATTTGCCAGGTTGTTATTCTGGTTGATGTCTCTAGCTCAATGAGAGTCCACCAGTCACACCTGAAGGATCAACTAAAGACACTACTGAGAGAGCAACTGGCAAAAAAGCGAATCAGGTATAAAGTAACATAACTATTATTATTATTAGTATTATTATTATTATTAGTATTATTAGTATTGTTGTTGTTGTTGTTATTATTATTGTATTGTTTATAGTTTTTTCAATATTATTGCATTTTCGACTGATGTTACATCCTGGCAAACAAGCCTTGTTCCCAATACCTCAAGGCAGAGATCTGAGGCTGAAGGATGGATACAGAAACTTATATTTGGAGGTTGCAGTAATCTAGATGAAGCAATAACAGTACGTTACTTGAGTACAAACAGTACTATGTATACTAAAATACTACCTTGTACAGTGTTCACTGAAACAAAAAGGACAAGAAATTTATTTAATCAGTGATGGAGATACAGTATGTTGCAATAATTGTGTGTTTGTCATTAGTCTATAACTGCAGGACCATACTTCTACTTATCTCATGTCACAAGTCAAAGAACTAAAGAAAGCCTTTCCATTCAATTGGCACATAAACAGCATAGCATATCAGACAACTAGGAAGTGAGATGATAATACTAGCTATTGTGTTTATCAATGATGTGTGAACATATATATTCATTCATCTATGTGTGTACTTATATTTAGTGAGTCCCTATGCTTTTTGCAAACTATAGCAAAGGAGACTAAAGGAAGGTCAGTTATAGTATACTGTAGAAAGTTTGTCATAACTAATTGTAAATTATTATAGGTATCATTTTTATTCAAGTGAAAGGCAATTAGACAAGTCGACTGTACTAGAAAAATCTAAAGCATTATACTTGGAGAGACAACTGGTAAATTGAACAAATCATCTGAATAGTCAAGTTATATATTTAATGCAGGGAGATGATGTTAAAGGCCTAGCAGATGAGATTGCACTAGCTGATTATTCCATCAAACAATCACTTTACTACTTAGGGAGATACAGCTAATGGATATGTACAGTCAAGATGTTTGTTGTTATATTTTTGTTGTAGTATATATACACAATGTACATTTGGAGTTACTTTTTCACATAATCTAATTCATATTATAACAAGAAATGAGAGTTGAGAAGTTAATGATAATTAATGTTTATTTGAAAGTATCTACATATTTAATCAAATCTCTGTCCTGTGAATCAACAAATGAATCAAGTGTCACTGGATTTTGATCAGTTTTCTGATAGAAAAAAAAGAGGTAAATACGAAAGAGATCAAACAACGAACTTCATTTGCTTGTGAAGTTTCCATTTCCTCCTGCTCATCCTCTGCTGCTGGAAGAGTTGTTATGAGCTGCTTTAAGCTACCGTCACACGTTTTCAAAATAGTCTGTGCTTTTTCCATTGCTCTACCAAAGAGCATTGCTAGTTCTTAGAAGAGAGAAGGTATCGAGTACTGTACCTGGTTATCTGTTGTATCATTTCATCTCTTTGTCTCTTTTGTCTCTCTAGAACCACACGAAGTGTCTCTCGAGCCTGTAATCAGTTACAAATATTAGCAATAATTAAAAAATTTAATTTTTGTTTAATTACTTGATGTGGTCTGTACTCGTTTATCAAGTGATGCATGTTAATGAACAGGATGCTGAGATCTTTGATCTTATCATTACGCTGTGTGAAACAAACAAGTGGAAAAAAGTACACCAAAAAGTGGCTAAACAGCATGCTTCATGGCAACGCAATAGTACATGGCTTTTGGAGCAATGTAAAACTGATAAAAAATCCAATTTTGATCAAAATCAGTTCAAAGTTTCTACGCAGCATAAGTACATGTATATGTATTAGAAAAAATTATAAAAATGAAGAATTCTCACCTTTTCATTTTTGACGAAATTTGACTTTGGCCTAATTTTGGAGCAACTTTAAAAATTCATAAAAAATTCAATTTTGATCGGAAATAGCTCAAAGTTTCTATGCAGCATAAGTACATATATATGCATCAGAAAAAAATTTTAAAATGAAGAATTCTCACCTTTTCATTTTTGGCGAAATTTGGCCAAAGTCCCTGTACTATAGTACAGGGACTTTGGCCAAATTTTGGAGCAACTTTAAAAATTCATAAAAAAATTAATTTTGATCGGAATTAGCTCAAAGTTTCTACGCAGCATAAATACATGTATATGCATCAGAAAAAATTATAAAAATGAAGAATTCTCACCTTTTCATTTTTGGTGAAATTTGGCCACTCACCCTGTACTATAGTACAGGGACTTTGGCCCAATTTTGGAGCAACTTTAAAAATTCATAAAAAACCCAATTTTGATCAGAATCAGCTCAAACTTTCTACGCAACATAAGTACATGTATATGTACAATAAAAATTATAAAAGTGGTAAATTTTTTTCTTTTATTTAAAAAAAAATTTGACCCAAATTAAATTTTGGTGGAAATTTCAAAATTTATTAAAAAAATCCACTGAAAAGCACTGTACTAAATCAGTAGAAATCCTGTGGAAAACCCTGGATTCATACCTCAGGAGAAGATGGGTTATCAATGAGAATATCCAAAAGTTCCAAGAAACAGATTAATATCGAACGATTCAACTTTTTCAATTCAACCTTTTTGTCTAGTAAAAATAGCATAATTATTATTACCAAAATTATCATCATAAGGTAAAACCGAGAACTCACTGCACTTTTGCACTTACCATACTGCTGTGGATAAAGACGCTGTACATTCTGCTCCTCCAGTGAACGAATCATAGCATCTCCAGTCTATCAAAACAGTAATTGCTTTAAAATATCCATTCCTTTTCACTTCTCAGCTAACATTAAATGGAGCTCCAAACATTTGATAATGTCCTTGCACAGGAGGAGGAGGTTTGGGAGCAGATCCAGATTCTACTGCCTCGTCTGTGTAGAGCTTGTACAATATAGAGGGAGGGTTTGGGAAAGCTTGAGTTGCCTCAGATTCGCTTGCAGCCATTTTCATGCAGTTCCAAGTTCCAACCCATCCGGTGATGACACAGTGCAGACACACCTTATTAGACACTCCTTCTAAAGGCAAGTTAGGCAACCATAACTCACATTCTTCATCAAAGCAAGACAGATACATTTTAAGGCGAGAGAGAGACAGAGGGAGAGAGAATAGGGTTACAATATTGAGTCATGGAAGTATGGACTTCAAACAGTTAATGAAACAAGCTTCACTTAACCAATCTCTAACATTAAAGAAAGTAAGTCTGTCTTGTGTGTATGTTATGTATATATATATATGTATAATAATTATTATTATTATTTGTAGCTTGAAAAAGTAAAAGAGAAAGAAAGAGAGAAAGAGATCATCCAAAAGACCAAAGAAGAACACAAGAAGAAATTGGCCAACGAGAAATTAAAAGAATATGAAACGAAGCTCGTTAAATCAAGATTAGCTTACAAAGGACTCTTATCAAGTAAAGGTAAGGAATGAGAACTATTTGATACTGACAGTAATTAGTGTGGAGAGAGGACATGACCTCAGTTTTACTTTCTGTTCTAATGCATTATCATTTCCTGCTTGACCACTTGAATGTGTACTAGCTCTCATTAATTATTTATTAGGTGAGCCACTCACACAGAAGGCACAGGAACAGCTGGAAAGGGCATTAAAGAGTCATGCTCCCACTAAAAAACCTAATATCACTACCAGTTCTTCAAAACCACACTCGTCCTCTCTTTCAAAACCACACCCATCATCAACCTCCGCGTCACGATTATTAACTCCCACCAGTTCCTCCAAGAGTACTTCTTCTAGCAGTAAATCAAAATCAACGTCTCCCCGCCCACTCTCAGCTAAACCTGCTGGCACTGATAAAACTATTAAATCTAAATTTAGTAAAAGTGAGTCTCATAAGAGTCAGACCCCACCACCTCGTATTAAAGAAGCACCAGCTGGAAAGAAAGGAGGAGGAGGAAGTGGTGGACCAGTTGATTTTAAAGAGTTGCTTAAACTGGCTCAGAAGAACAACAGATCAAGTACTGGAGTTGGCTCTTCTTTGTTGTCTGATGAAACAGGGAAACAGCAATCAGTAGGACCGGGAGCAGGAATCGGTAAAGCATTATTGGACAAGCAAAGACGAGATAAGAAGAAAGAAGAGGACAGGAGAATACCACCAACAAAGAGTATGAAATCAGCTCCAGTTGTAAGCAAGCCTGGCCCAGCTAGCAGCAGTAAGGAATCTGGTACTACAAATGGAAAGATAACAACAACAAAACCAGTAGAAAGAGTATATCCTTATGAATTACCCTATGGTGGGAGAAGAAGACTGCCAGAAGGTGTAGGAGGTAGTGTGGGAGGGGAAGGAGGAAGTAGAGGGCAAGAAGCAGCTGCTGGTGGAATTAAAACTAGCAGAGGCCAGATGAATACTAGAGGAAGAGGGAGAGGGGGTCCACCAATGTCTAGAGGAGGTCCACCAGTGTCTAGAGGAGGTCCACCAGTGTCTAGAGGAGGTTCCAGTCTCAGGGGATCCCGTCCAAAGTCATTTTATGGGCCAAAAGGTGTACCATCTAGCGCCCGCCTCATCAAAGATGGGTCTGGTGGTCGCTCTGGCTCATCATTGAACTACAAGAGTAGTTGGGTTGATGAGATGAGAGATTACATACATAGCAATCAATTTGAGTTAGACGAATACGATGATGACGATGACGACTTGGACGATTTTGTTGTTGACAGTTACGAGGACGAGGGAGAAGAGGAGGGAGCAGAGGACTACTCGTCCGCCATTCAAGAGATATTTGGTAGCAAGTATAGGACAAGGACTGCTGAGGAAGATGATGACACGTTGATGGAGTCAAGCTATGCACAGCAACAATTTGAAGAGTACAGGAGGTAATAGAAGAGAGAGAATGTAGGGTAGAGAGAGAGAATGTAGGGTAGAGAGAGAGAGATAAGAATCAGTGTTTTTATCCTAATGAATAGTGGATGTGGGCTTAATTGAAGGTTTTAGTCAATTCAATTAGCACTTCCTATGTTATTTCATTTTTTTTACTAGTGCACGTATTGGTCAAATGGAAGATGCAGAAGACATTAGAAGAGAACAAGAAATGCTGCGCAGGAAACGTACCAAAACATCTGCTTCGACTAGTGGAACAAAAAAGATTAAAAAACACTAATAAAAAAGAACTGTTGTATGATATCATTTTCAATCATGACATTAATTAATTTTATTATATTAATATTGTCCTCTACTATTTAATAATGATTATTGGATATTCTATATCTTTTAGTATTTCTTGTGGCATGACTTTATGTGTTTTCTGAGGCTCGAGCAAGTATGAAATTGTGCCAGCTGCTTCTGAAGTACTTCAGCTCTTTGGTTCAGTAAATCAATCTCAAGTTTCAATGCTTGAATGGTGTCCTCATACTCCTATAAGGAAAGGTATTATATAAAAAGACACTAAGTACTATTCTGTGGTTTTTGACCAACTTCAAAAATTCATAAAATATGTGAAATTTTTTGTGCACGTACTTTTCTTGTGAGGATTTGCTTTTGATCAATGTTAGCTTTCACTTGAGATAGCTATATATTATACACATTTACCTGATGAAGTATGAATCAGTTTATTCTTACTTGTGCTTCGTGTGCCTTCTTCTGCTGAACTAGTTGAGTTTTGAGTTCTTCTGATCTTGCTATAGCTTCAGCTATAGCTTGCTGATGTGCCTGTATATCATGGATAACATTATAAAGAAATCAATTACTGATCAGTTTACTGCTTCTTCTGATGCAAAGTGTGATCTTATTTGATTCAGCTCTAACTCGTTTCCTCTTTGCAATTGTTTAATCTCTTCATCTTGTTCCACCTTCATTCTTTTATTCAGTGATAAACCTTACTAAATAGTCATGTTACCTTTCCTGTTCTTCTTGAAGGTCTTTGACTTGCATGCTCAATGATGCTATGCTCTGAATAATTCGGAGCATCAGTAATTGAAACAAAATCAATGATTTACTTCTTCTGCTAATGCAATCTTGATCTCATAGTCGTGTTGCAGGTGCTGTATTTGAACTGCATACTTATCATTAGGAGATCAATTACACTATGGCACAATATCAATGTTTACTTTCTCATTGAGAATGGATAATTCGTTTGCTTGTCTCTCTTTATGTTTGGCTTCTAGTTTTCCTGGCTGTTCTTCAAATTTTCTCGTAACATCGCATAAACTTTTTTCTAGATTCTCAATGACCTGTTACAATTATAACTATATTCTTTATAAAAGTGACTATTACTTTTTGTTTGTGTTGCATTGCTTTGATGTGTTGATCTTTGACCTGAAAAACATAAGGGCACTATTATTTTGCCAATTTTAACACACCTTTTGCATGCTACTGTGATGTTCTTTGTTTGCCTTCTCCAATTTCTTTGTCTGTAATTCAAGTCTGGACTCCAAATCGTTGTATTTAGAATCTTTTTCTCTATTCATGCTATAGTAAACTTTCATTTTTGATATAAAACAAACTTGAGAGTTGCTTTAAGGATGGACAAAGAATCAGATGACTCCATTTGTAATTGTTTAAAAGAATTATCTAACTCTTTTATCTTATAAAGAAAAGTTGCAGCGATAATTATTTATTCTACATTTTCACACCTTTGTTTCTTTCTCACTTAACTGCTTCTGATTTGAGCTTTCGATTTCCTACCATAAATATTTTCATTATACAGTAATACATGTTTTAACCACCCACCTTCACTTTTTGTTTATGACTAGCATTAATATCTTCAATATAGTTTTGTAAAGTTTTCACTTCCTTTTGAAGGCAAGAGATATCATTTGCTGCACTTAATTGGTTGTGCTTCATTTGAGTCTTGAGAGCTGAAATATCTTTCTCAGCTTGCCCCGCCATTTCTTTTATAGTGTCCTCTTTCTCAGCTGTGATTTGTATGTAGGATTCTTCCAACATTTTGATTCTAAAATAAATTTTAGGGCCAAATTTTGAAGAACTGAAACAAAAAAAATCAGCAGATACACTATAACATACCTTTCATTAGCTTGCTTAATACTTGCTTCTAAGTTTCCATTGTCTTCTTGTAATTGATTCTAAGTATAATATTAGCAAAAAAGTAACTGGTATGCATTATGTTGTACCTTTTGCTTCAAGTATGTGTCTTTCATTTGTTGTGTGATGTCAAGCTGCTGAGTTAGTTGGTGGTTCTTTGATTCAAGGTCTTGTACTATTCGTTTCTGTAACAACAAAGAAATTCCATCAATATTTAGCACCAAAAGACGTTAAATATTTTTGTAGCCTTACAAGTGAAATTTTTTCCGTTTCAAGACTCAGTAGTTTCCCATTAGCATCCTCTATGACTGCTTGTAAGTTCTGAAACTTCTCATGCTCCATGTCAACCTTTTCTTTTTCTAAATCACTAATAATACCTTGAAACTAGAGCAGAACAGAATGCTTAAGTATCACTTCAGTCCGTTATTACTTTCTTTTTGAGCTTGTTCTTTGACTGAAGAAGCTGCTGTTGAGACTCTTGCTTTATCCTTTGTAGCTCTTTGCTTTGCTGTTCTTTCTTTATACTTAGTTGACTCTCCAGTTGTGATGCTGTGTGTGAGAATGACTAGTAATGCATATGAACAGTAGTGTATACCTTTCATCTCTAGCTGGTGACACTTGTGCTCCAATTGACAAGTCTTTTGCGAATATTCCATGCGCAAGGATTCTATTTCGCTATTCTTTTGGTCAAGGAACTGTCATTACAAGCTAGACTCATTTATTGTTTGTTTATAGCATGTATTTACATTTTTAATTGTCCCATTGCTATGCTGCATTGATTCATTTTGTGTCTTGGCTGCAATTAAGTGTGAAGAATTACCTAATAAAAGCTGCTAAGGGTCTAATACAGACATATTACACTTCTACTCACTGATGGATGCCTATTAGGAAGTGATTGGGGAAATGAAATCTCTGCAAATGCTTCAGATAATTCGTCACTGCCTTCATCATAATCCAACTATAAATATGCACAATTGTGCAATAGATAATACTGAGGGAACTCACCTGTAAACTCTTTACATTTGTTGGTGCTTTATTGGGAGTTGAAGATTTTGCCGTAGTACTGGCTATTGTCATGCATGGTAGTATATAAAGTTTATCTATTTCTTACTTTTTATGTCATCCTGATCATCATCTGAGGAAGAATCAGAGGAATTAAATTTTAACAACTTGCGAGTCGTTCTCTGTACATGTGTCTGTTAAATTTAAACACGGCATTATTTATTAAAGCTAACTTACAGCTTGTTTCCATCTTGGTGAAAGGGAGAGGGATCTCACCGATGACTTATAATTTGCACCTCTGCCAGGAGAGGTGAAGGAAATATTCCTATCAGCGTTTCCTTTGAGAGATGGGACAGCTGTGGGAGGAAAAGTTTCTGTTAGCTTATGATTTGGCTGCTGAACAAAACTGAAATTATCCGGAATAGAAGGATGATCGGTAGTATGATACTCTGGACTGGTTGATAATAGTTTGTCTAACTCGTCTTTCTATGCATGTATACTAGTATATGAAGACATTGAAGTATATTGCATTGGCTTACAACAAGAGGCAAGGGCCCTGATGGTGGAATAGCTGTGAATGGTGGCTGAAGTTTAGTCTGCTGCAAAGAATTGAGCAGTAGCCTGGTGTAATGATTGCAAGTTGCTCTAGAGTACAGTACACATTGCATTTAACACCTCTCTTGGAGGCTAACTGACTTGTCATTCTTTCTCTCTGATATCAATTTCTTTATCCACAGTGCCACATAATGACGATCATCTACTCTACATGTATAAAGGAATCATTCAAAGCATTTTTGCTTACCCGAGCCTCTTTGCAGGTTCTTTGCCAGGGATTTGATCCTCTGAAAAAGTTCCATGAATTCGTCGTCCATTTTCTGTACCTTACGCGCACAATTTGGCGCAAAAGATCTACTGAGCATGCGCAGAAGGGCTGGCGTTTTTAATTAGCTGGTTGTCATCGCAGCGCCGAGACGTCTCTTCACATTATTATGCTGTGACATGATGGCTGCATACAAGGAGCTTATAGACACAGCATTCCCAGCAGCTCCTAAGAAAACAGCATATATAGGAAAAGGAAAGACTATTAAAAAATCTACTATAACTAGGTTTGTTTTTATAACTTTCTTTACAGCTTTAGCATGAATGTATTTTTCAATTTTAATGTATGACAGCTTGGGGCAAAACAAAAAGCAGAAGAATTTCGTAATGAATGCCAATCAAGACCTACAGCATTTGAAGCAAACAAGAAAATACTTAATGACAGGACAACTGACTATGATTGGTGATGGTCTCTATGAAAAGGAAAGGTGTTCCAGTTGCAACGAGCAGCATCGGATAGCAAGTGTCCTGACAGAGGCATACAGGACTCCTAAGCACTGCACACTCCCAAGCATATTGAGTCGCTGTCCTCCATCTCCAGTGACAGCAAAGAAAGAGAAAAGTAATAGCAATCGTACTACCCCAACGCCAACAGACTTCCATATCGAAGTTAGCAAGACTGCTCCATTTAGCAGAGAATTTTGCCGCAAGATGCTTTGTCAAGAAGAGAATACACTGACTGAGCGCTTGCAGTTTGAAAAGGCATTACTGGAAGAGACAGAAAAGTAAGTTAAAAAAATGATAATAATGGTTCATTATCATGGGAAATCTATTGTAAAGGAAATTTCATAAATTTGAATTAGCCGAATTAAGATATCAGAAAGAACTTGATGAAGAGAAGAAAAGATACGAAACAGCAAAGAAAAGAAGATTGGCACTTCAGACTTTACTCAAGACACTAAATGATATACCAGTAATTTTATGCACATTCAATGATTCACATAATAATGTGAATCATTGAATGTTATGTATATATTATATACATAATGTTTTAATAGGAGACAAAGCCTGTAGAAATAGCACCAAAACAAGAGTCATCTGGAGGAATATTACGTTATAATTATTCAAATGCCTCAAGGAAAGCAGTTCGAATCAAAGACAGCTCTGACGACACCACAGCCTCAGACTCCAATCATACATCAGAGGCTACTTCGTGTCTTTCTAAATATTTGACTTATGCCAGCTCACAGTATTTGACAGCCTCTTCTCGTTCTTACTTAGACACAGACGAGTCTTCCTCAGATGAATCAAGTATAATAGTATTGTGTCTACAAATGGTTTTTATACTGTCATTCTCCTTCAGTTATATTAGTGGGAAATAATTCAGAGATGGACGAAGTTTCAAACAGTTATTTATTGAGTGATCCATCTCAAAATAGACCACCGGTTGGTGAAACATTTGCAAGCAGTACCTCTGAACAAGGACTTGGACACAAGAACATATTTTTGCGTCATAAAAGTGGGACAAAATCCAGTGAAGAGACCAGCAAGCAAATCAGGGAAACTAAAAGTAGCGAGGCAGCAGTGAAAAGTGCACCTACCCTAGTTACATATACATCTGAGAATGTCAATACAGAGGTAATGAGAGAACTTTACTGTCCTCAAATTGTTTTTTAATCAGGCTGAACAAGAAGATTTACAAGTCAATATTCCTGGACAGGCAATGAAAGAGGACATATCTCAAGCATCACAGGTCTCAAATCTAGAGATTAGCAGGATTAGTAGCAAAACAAACATAGCAGCAACAAAAAGTAGTCGCATTGGCAGCAAGACTGATGTTATCGTCAAGAGTAGAAGTAAAACTAATATTCTACGGGCAAACAGTTCCAATTCTAGCAAACGTCAAAAGAGTAAAGAAAAAATCAGTAAAGTGTCAAAGGTAGGTAGATATTGTAATAGTGATGCTAAAATTGCCTTTTAAATTAGGTCAACAGTTCACTTTCTGCAGAAAGACAGATACATGTACATACAAACATACCTTCTCTCATAATTACAGCTCCTTCAACAGCCAGTAACGTAGGACAAAATGAGAGCCATAGTACTACAGAAATGCCATCAAAGGAAAGCATGTATGCATCATCAGAGGAGGAGAGTGTAAGCATGATAGGTCATGTAGCATCAGGCAGTAGCAGCAATGTTTTATCAAAGGACACATCAATAGACATTGTGGCCTCTCAAAAAAGTGAAGAACGAAGCGGAGCTGCCATTAGTGACCAGGATAAATCAGCAGCCAGTGTTATTGATATTGTAGTCTCAGCTGAAGCACCTAATGAAGAAAAAGAAGTTATCGCTCCATCAGCCGAGCCTCAAGAGTCCGAAGTAATAGCTTCGAAATCCTCAGCAGCTCAATCTCAGATTCTACTCAAAGCCAAGAGTCGAACCGTCCAGCCTGCACTGAGCATTGGGACAATGCTAGCAAAGAATATTGTCCAGAAAGCCATGGAAATGGTAATCCAAGAGATTCAGTCTGACGAGCTTCATCAAGCAGAATCCTTTGAGAATACTCAAGCACAAGTTGAAGAGCTACTCACTTGCTCCAGTGAAGAGTACCTGACTATGACAGCAACAGAATTAGTACGTAATGCTATCGCTAAGGTACAAAAGGATCTGGAGAGCGTTGTGTCATCAAGCAATATTAATGCAACAGCTGGTACAGAAGCAACGCCGTCAAAATCTATGTTCTCTTTCATGAAGCTCCCTTCTGTCAAGTCTATACGTAAAATATTCTCGTTCTGAGGATGAGCAAAGAAAGAAAGAATGAATCAGACTAACTATTACATGTAGTTCCATAGGAGTAGTTTAACAATAACAAAACAACAATGACATCATAATAACTAGTAATCTATTATTGTAATGTTGTTGACAGCAAAATGAATGATCAAAAATTAATACATGTAATAATTGTTACAGGGAATAAACACTAGGGGAGATCAATAGAAGAGTTATTTTGCCTTCAGAGTATTTATAACAATAATTAGAGGAGTCTATGGATGGTTAGGATCTAACTGCTATACTGTTCGGGAATTTCTCAGAAAGAATTAACTTCCTTCTTGGATCAGAACTGTCCGATCTCAAAAACGCCACGGCTTCTGAGATGTCACCAGACTGAACGAGAGAGAGCAACCCCATCAGACTACTTATACCGCTAATAGCTTGGCCGATCAATACTATCGGGAGGAGGACTAGGACAACGATTATGTTGACAGGTAAGAGAAGAACGCGAGACAGAGCTTCTAACATGATTGATCCAGTGATATTAGAAACTACTTCTTGACTTGGAAGAGAACTCACGACAATAACAAAACGTCAGAGAGAGAACCGATGGCGAGTTTGAAGGTTGAAGAGACAATTCAATTTTATTGAAGGCTGAGGCTTTATATAATGATATTCATAGGTCATTAATAAAATTCGTGGACATGTGTGGCACGATGTGAGCACGTTCTTATCAGTCACCTGTTAAAATGATGCAACTATTGTATAAAAAATAATAATGCTGAGTTAACACTTCAAACAAAGAATTACCAAGGGTATTTTGCACTTCACCCAGCCTCTTCTTCTAATAATAATAAATTTTAAATGTGCTCATGAAATGATCTATAGGATCAAATAAAATGGTCAACTGCTTCTAGTTTCCTCTCTTCAAAGTATCTATGTCTCTTTGCCGGTTTAGGCCCATCTCCATTAGTCTTTGCTTTTCCAAAAAATAAACTAATTTTAGGACAATTTGCTTTCTGTTCTTCATCTTCGTCATCATCGGGCCTTAGCAAACAAAAAACAACAAGAATCATTACAATAAAGTGATATGTCATATGCACTCACCGACAGTCACACACACACACACACACACACACACACACACACACACACACACACACACACACACACACACACACACACACACACACACACACACAGATATGAACATGTACTGTACCATTTCACTAAGAGTCCATTTGATTCCAGCATCTTACTGGCAGTCGACCAACTGAATCTGACAAGAGTTGGGAATCCAAAAACAGGATCAATACAATCCTTCATCCAATTTATTGTTGTAGTATCTAAACAAAAGTTTGTTAGATGCTTTGTGTGTGTGTGTAGCCTCCTTTATTCTACACTGGTCAATGGTTACATGTACAATGTACTACAGTAACACTCTATTAATGAGGCTACGTGTGCTAATGCCCACGGGTTCATGGACTAATTTAATGCAGAGAAGCCTTTCCAGTAAATAGATTTACTACAAACCAATTTGGCATGTACTTTATTGTATGTGACTGAATGCTTAGCCACACGAACTCTATACTCTACAGCAATTGCTGACAAAAGCTTTACAAAATTCACTATAACGTAATTTTAATTCTAAGCATAGTGTATGTGTGTCTAACCTGATGTATATCCACAACCAAATGATTTACTATAGCAATCATCACCCTCTGTGAACTTCCATTCTGTTAGGCAAGCATCTCTGATAACCTACACATAATAATGATGACTAATACAACCACCTAGCATCAGTCCACCTAGCATCTCATGCAATGTTCATTGCTACACATACATGCAATAGATGATGTTATACGACCACCATGCACCTAGCATGCTACAATCTCATGCAATGTTTATTGAGTGTGTTTACTTTGGCACAAATACTAGCAGCACTGACAATAGGAAATAAACTGTCAGCTTTTTTAGTGACTGTGACCTTCAACTGAGGAAAAATGCTCTCTAGTTTCGACTGGTAAGACTCTGGCTTCCCCACTGTATCTACATATACCTGTAATGATAACTTAGTATAATTATTTTGAATTTGATTATTATGATTATAATGTACAGTATGTGCTATTGGTCAACTTTGGTCCAATTTTAAAAATTCATAAAAATTCCAATTTTGATTGGAATCAACTCAAACTTACTACACAACATAAGTGCATGTATAAAAAAACATGTATTTGTATCAGAAAAAATTGTAAAATGGAGAATTCTCTCCTAGCCAATTCAGATCAAATTGGACCAATCTATTTTTTACAGGGACTTTGGAGCGACTTTAAAAATTTGTAAAAAATTCAAACTTGATTGGAATCATCTCAAAATTTCAACACAACATAAGTACATGTATATGCATCAGAAAAATATTTTAAATGAAAAATTCTCACCTTGCCATTTTTGGCGAAATTTGGCCAAAATCCCTGTACTATAATAGTACAGGGGCTTTGGCCCGATTCTTGAGTAACTTTAAAAATTCATTAAAAATCCAGAATTGATCGGAACCAGCTCAAACTTTTTACGCAGCATAAAAACATTTATATGCATCACAAAAAATTATATAAAAGGAGAATTCTCAAATTTTTATTTTTTGTGAAATTTGACCAAAATCCCTGTACTATAGTACAGGGACTTTGGCCCAATTTTTGAGCAAACTTTAAAAATTCATAAAAAATCCAGAATTAATTGGAATCAGCTCAAACTTTTTATGCAGCATAAGAACATGTATATGCATCACAAAAAATTATAAAAAGGAGAATTCTCAACTTTTCATTTTTTGTGAAATTTGGCCAAAATCCCTGTACCATAACTTTGGCTGAACTTTTGAGTAACAGGAAAAAAATCATAAAAATGGAAAATTTTCTCCTAGCCATATTTTAGCATTAAATATTTTAAATATTGTAGTTGCAATTACATATACGTACTTCAGTGAGTTTGACGCCATCAGAAAGAACCTTCCTAATTAAATCAATAGCAGTATCATGCGAGATTGAATTTAAATTATATTTACTCCTAAAAGTGAAAAATTAATGGTAAGTTTAGGGTGTGAGGGTTAAATTAGATACAAAATGGCACACCTCCTTAGCATGCAATTAGAGAGATAATTTGGCGAGAGAATGCATGCCTTCCAGCCCAACCATTCGTTGCATTCAGTTATTGTATGATAGAGGTCCTCACGCTGTGATACAGAAAGAACTTTAGAGTCTGCAATAAATAAATACAATTAATAAAAGTGGTTCCTTCTGCAAACCAGCAAATTTTAACTTCTCCAGATCCTTAGTCTTTGTTATTGGACAGTAACTGATTCCATACACCATTGGGCCTGTGCAAATAAAAGCATTGCTTGATAATAATACTACTAATAGTATACCTAGCACTGGTCCTCTGCCAGCTTCATCTATTCCCATTAGGCATTCATCTTGACAAGTGATTGTTGGTACTGCCGACTGTAGATTGTGTACACCTAACGGACTATCAATAAATCCACTGACATCAACTACTGAAGACTTCTTTTCTTGAGTTTCTTGACCTTCTGCCATTAATTAAACCGCCCAATATTTTGTTAGTTGTTAAAATATTAAAATGGGATGGGCTTTCTACTTTCTACTGCAAATTATTAATTACTATTGTGAATATTATTACTTAAAAATTACACTATATTAATAATAATAATTATATATGATATAACCACAACAACAACAAAAACAAAAACAACAATTAATAATAATAATAATAATAATAATAATAATAATCAACTAAACTGTCAAGGATCAATATGAAAAGCAGAGAGCGGTGATTTAAAATTTAGATTAAATGTCTGATCATAAAAACGGCTGAAATCTCAAGTTTCAGAGCCTCTTGCTTGCTTTTGCATTCTCTCGTAGAATGACCTGGCACTCTCTAACTGCTGGAGAGATGAAGCTATTATGGTATCTAACTCCTGTGAAGCACCTCCTTCATTCTCCTGAGAGAGAGAGAGAGAGAGAGAGAGAAAGCCAGAATTAAAGAGGGTTTGAGTGTGCAAGTTAACATACATCGTCCATTAGTAAAGGATTAAAAAACGTTCCACCTCCTCCTCCAACCATCTCATCTACATCATCATCGTCATCGTCATCATCGCTTTCACTCTCAGACTCAGAATCACTAGAGGAGCTCGAAGAGGATCCCTGATGCTTACTACAATAAAAGAAAAGGAGAAATGAGTCCTCTCCTAACAGTCCCTTATACTCACCTGTCATATATTTGAGTAAAGGCAGCTGCACTGGCCATGACGTCCTTTGCTACAGGAGTCACTTCAGGTATGACAGGAGGGTGGGGCTCTAGTTCATTGTCTATCCCGTTAGCTATTGGCTGGTCAGCTGACTTCTTCTTAGCCAATTCCATACTAGCACCTGCACATGTACACGTTACATTTAACATGCAGTACATTCTGTACGCTTACCTGGTGAAAGTGACCTACTCCTAACCGATGTACCAGTATTTAATGACGTTTCACTTTGTGCTGAACTATTAAAATAAAAATGATAAATTTATCATAAAATGCTTCATTTAGTGATAAACAAGTATTAATAGATACAGTCACGCTTTTCACACGTTCCTCAATAGTCAATACAGTACCTTCTGAATCTCATTGAGTTTGGTTTACTGGTTGACGTCTCTCGTGCCGGAGTACTGTTAGTGGAGGAACTGGTACGACCTGGAGCTGATGATAGCTCAGGAGGCTAAGATAAATACAACAAAAATAATAAAAATGCATTAGCTAAGAATGCAATACAAATGTATGCAAATGTACTGTACATGTACAATGAATCTCTTTCCCCCCATCTCTCTCTCTCTCTTCTCTACCTTTTGTTGTCGTGATTGAGGACGTTGTGTAGCTTGACCAGTAGCACCTTCAAATGAGTGTAAGTTAGGCTGAAGACTTGTATGGTATGAACTGTAAGAGGTGAGAGAGAGAGGGGGAGAGAGAGAGTGTGTAAAAATTAGTCACACAAACATTCCTTACAAGTTATAAGAGCAGAGGAGTTGTCTCTCTAACTCTGAGAATGATCTCAAATGAAACGATTCAGCATTTGAAGAAACTATCAAGCTCTGCATTGCTCTACACATTAAAAAGAATAAAACACTCAATATTTTTGTGTCCTCACTTTTGATCAGAAGGCAACACATAGAGTTCCTTGTGGTACATTATTTTAATGTCAGGGAGAGAATACACAAGAATGTGTCCTATGGTTGTCATGACAACCAGTGCATTGTTCCAATCTCTGCTGGCACCAATTGGAGCAGCTACAAATAAAAAAGTGAAATTTTACGTCGTACAGTACTTCATAATTTTATTTCTATTTTTTTCCTTACCAGCTACTTTAGCTTTAATCATCCAAGCCTTGCTTATTCTCTCATGAATTAAATTGTTCACTTTCTCTTTGCGTTTTGACCTCATGTTAGGCAGCGATATGATCTACAATGTTCAGAAGCATGTCATAAAACAAGTATATTATAACAAGTGGCTCTACAACATAATATCTTCCCTTTTCTCTTACTTTTATTTGCTCTTGTGTTACTATTACGAGATAGTGCGGTGGCTCCATGTTGGGGCCTAATAATAATTTAAAACGTAGTAATTAATTAAAAGAGTCAGGCAATATAAGCAAGGCTTACTTGGTGCAGCCTTTGCTTCAATTTCAGACGGAGAAGGAACCGGTTGCATGTCATGATCAAGAACAAACAGACCAACTATGGGAGCAGCATGCACCAGACCATAATCCTTGCCTAAAGTGAGAGATAAAAACTAAAAGTACATGTTGTATACGAACAAAGAGACTAAAGTGAATGTAGCTTTACTGGTTTACATATGCATCTCATACAATTCCTCATTATTGAAACATACAACATAGAGCTGGGCGATAGTTTCAAATATATTCACTATCGCGATAGTATAGAAGCTATCGTGATGTGATAGTAGTATTTAAGCTATCGTGATAGTGGATCTAGCCAGCCAGTCTAGGCATGCTCTGTGCTATAACCACATTTTTAGCCATTAAGTGTTATAGTCATGGCAATGGTGTAGCAATTTAAGAGTCATATTTGGTAGAGCTTGGGCATGTTGTAAATGAACAACGATTATGCTTACTAGTTAAACAACACATCAATCAATAATACGTACATAATAATATGCTACATTTATTGCATTGCTGAGTTGTATCATTTTAATTTAAAATTAATAAACTAAACACATAAAAGCTATTATATCGTGATAGTTTCACTATCGGGATAGTTTCACTATCGGGATAGTAATCGAGGCAAATACCGTGATAGTGATTTTATCACTATCGCCCAGCTCTAATACAACATGATATATACTCATACACGTCATCCTGTTACCTGCAGGAAATGCTCTATTGGGTCCAGTGTATTTCATGTCTTTTGTCGGCACTTCAATGGTGTATCGAATGAGTGAAGAACCCATTGTAGACGCTATGACACTTACATGAGGGCCACCGCCTGAAAGCATAATGTGCAAAATTAATATCATTAAAAATGCAATCATGTAGGTGATATTTGCATTTATGTACATGTACATGTTAATTTGATATTACCTGAGATATGAGTCTCAGAAAACAATAGATGACAGACGACCCCTCTCTGCTCAGGAGGTATTGCTACTTGAACCACAGGGCCACCAGAGTCTAAGAATATCTGTCCATCAACCGACTGGGTCCGCCTGTCCTTCAGTGGGGACCTGGCCGAGCTTGGTCTCTTCTCCTCGATGCCGGACTCCAAATTAAAAGAGGCTACAATCTTGCGTCTTTCCTCGGCTATGGCAGTGCTTGAGCGACGGCGGAGGGAGCTACGAAGAGAACGTCTCATGGACTGAACTCGACTGATGTTCCTCGCCTCAACCCCGTCAGAAAGGACTGTTGGATGAACCAGGACGATACACTTTGTAAAGAAATTAGCGACAACAAATCCTTTGTTATTAGCGACGGCAACACTGAAAGAGAGAAGAAAAAAGATGAATTAATGAAAGTGGTTGGATTATATTTGATGGGGAAATGTAAGATTACGTGCGTAACAATGCAAACATAACAAATAAAAACACACAAAAGAAAGTAATAACTTTTAAAATAAAAAATAAACGAAAATCGCCTATAAAATAAACTAATTATAATAATGCTAAAATAAAATGTGTTTGTGCTTAACTCCAATTAGGGTTTCCCACAGGATTTTGGCATAGTGGTCAGCAGCTTCTTGCCAGTGGACTCAAGTTGCTCAAAAATTATGCCTAAGACCCTGTGCTATCGTGCATTTTTCTGATACATACATGTATACATGTACATGTTCTGATGTTGTGTAGAAAGTTTGAGCTGATTCTGATCAAATTTGGATTTTTTATGAATTTTTAAAGTTGCTCCAAATGGTCATATATTAGCTGTAATCAGCTCATGAAGCATGCTTATTACCACACTTACGTGTAGCATGCTTTGTGGGAAACCCTGACTCCAATGCAGTCTGATGTATATCAACACAGACTACATTATAACTTACAGTCCATAGCTGGGCCTGAAAGCTAATGCAGTAACAGGCATGGCTGGCATACACTGGAGACATAGTGAGGGTTGGAAACCGGCAGGTAGTTGTATGAAATCACTTTTACACTCAAGAGGAGCATTGTTCCTGAGCCCACCTCCTCTACCTCTAGTCCTCACTTCCTCGATAAATATATCAGCAACAATGTGCTACAAGGGAGAGGAATGGGTAATTATTAGTAGCATCATCATTCAGTGATGAATAAAGGGAATGAAAGAAAAGGAGAGTATCATATACGTGAATGTGTACACTCAAGCTGTGATATATTAATTTACACTTCAATAAAAGGATATTGTAATGTTACACACCTCAACTCTGACTTCAGCTGGCTCGGGATTGAAAGCAAAAGTGAGTGCCTGGCCTCCTTCTCCTCCGATGCAAAGTTTGAGAGAATACGGACAAAAGTCGATAAATCGGATGGAAAGTCGAGTATCGTCGTCGTAAGGATCGTACGATGAAACCTTTCGATACGGAGGCCACTGGAACTCAGAGAAGGCAGCCTCGTCAAATTCCTCACCATCAGAGTTCTGAAAGATGGAGGAGGTCTTGAGTTCATAGATGAGATCCATGGCAGAACTCGTCGTGTTCCAAAACTTGATAGAACCACTTGCATGACTGAGATAAAGGAGGGAATAGGAGGAGTAACAATTTAATATAATTATATCATATACCGTATGATTATTATATACATGTGGTACAACATATACAATGTATAAGGAATAGGAGGAACAACAAAGTAGAACAAAGGCAATTTGGCAGATATCGTTACAACATCATAACAATCCCAAATTAAAAATCAGGGAATATTATACATCTAGACACTGTACACATATGTAATACAATATAATTACTGTGTGCAAATAAAGTTGAACTGTGTTGACTAATACAATAACAATGCAATTAAAATGCCACAGTAAAGGACCAGTTACAGAGAAACTAGCTGTCCCATTAATAATGTACAATGTACATGTATAGAAGTGTACAACTAAACAAAAGACAACAACTCACAAAGGAACAACAAGCAATTAACAACAAGACAGACAGACTGACATGAAAAAGTGACAGACATGCACCATTTACAGACACACACACACACACACACACATATACATGTACATATAAGATATAGTACATGTACATGTACATATGAAGAGTGTGATCGACACAGTCAATAAATTTGTCAACTGCCAAACAGGATATCAAGCATGCGATTGATAACACTAACATATTAAGAGTACATTCAGTGATATGAATAAAGATATTATCATATCCACTTACCCAGTAACCAGTAGGTCTAGCGTAGGCGGATCAGACACGCGTACAAACCCTCCATTGACTGGCCACGCCTACAATATAAAATATAATAATAAATAATTATAGTGTATTATTCTAATTAATGCCAACAGATAGAACAGTGACTACTCTACACACATTTTTCACTCACTCAATCAGAACACGCACTGTATATGTACATGTACAAACTACACTTGCAATATCCAATTAATAATACAAGCACCCAAACATATGAAAGGAAGCTAGGAATAAGCTAACCACAACTATGGTATAGTGAATGCACATGAAGCAGTAGAGTAGACCTGCAAAATAAATTTATTGCAAATTAAATGGAATAGTTGATAGTCAGTGATACGTGTTGTAGCATAGTACCAAGCCTATACGTAGAATGCTCTCCTCCTTCTTAGTGACTGTCAACATCAATAATGAAACAATTAATTGCCAAATTATTACGGAAAGACTATCTCCCAATGCATTCTGTAGTAACTATACATAGCCAAAACTAATTACTATACTATGGGTATGTGATGAATGCTGACACATAAGAGACAATGGAATTCAAGAGAAAGGGAGTTAAAGCTCACCATTGCGCTGATATAAGTATTGTTGGTAGAAGAATTAGCATTGGCCTCAGAAGCTGCTTCAAATACACTCAAAATGTCTTTGGGACAATTGTCAAATGCTTTAAGACAGGTTACAGGAGAAGAATGGATACTGTGCAAGTATGGTTTTTTAATCATAGGACATCTGAAGTAAAAAGAGGAAATTCACATGAGATAAAGGCTGATTTGTTATTTATGTACTTTGGTGCCTCTAGATCAAAAGCTAGCAATTCCTGTTGACAAAGAACAATCAATGCCTTCCCTCTCTTAGTATCAGGATCTATGTATAAATAAATATACAAGAATTCACATGATTTATAAAAAAAACTCTAAAACATACAAGATACTAAATCAAAGGCTATTTGACTGACCTGTGATTGTGACAAAATCAATGACTCTTGAAGAGAAGTCTAAAGCAACGTGCTCCGTTCCTTGAATGACCGTGACTATATTGTGCTCATCTTTATCCTCAGAGGGCAAGCCACCAGAGAATATGTCAAGAGGATTGCTAGTCGAATTAAGCCACTTAATGCGATCAATAGGCTCACATACTTCACCTTTAAGAAAAGAGAAAGAGAAAAGAATAAGATACATGTACATACACGTATACATGTAATTATTAGAGATGGTCATAACTAACATCAGAATCAGTCTAAATTAATATTTGCAGACATCATTTTAAAGCCAATAAAAAGATACTGTATGCATTGCTTTATACCATATTGTTTGGTGGGTCCTTCTTCTGGGGTGGATGAGTTAATATTCCAATAATAAAGACTGGAGTCTTTATGAGCAGACATGAACTTCTTCCCTTCTCTTTGCCACGACAATGATGTTAATGGCTATTAATATGAGGCAGAAAGAAAGGACATAAACACTGTTCCTCTTTCATTCTCTCTCTCTCTCTCTCTCTCTCTCTCTCTCTCTCTCTCTCTCTCTCAATCTTACTTGTTTTATCTCCTCCATTGTAGTAGGAAAGTTTCTCTCGGGTAGAGGTTGGGTGACATCCCAGAGGACGATGATTCCTTTCTCATATCCAATCAACAGCTTGTTGTGGTTCGCTGGGGAGAGCTCAATGGACGTAACTGATCCAGGGTGAGTCTGAGTGGACTTTTGAATACTGCAAAAAAAGAGAAGAGAAAAATGGAGAAAGATGGAAAATAAAGATATACATTTACACGTAGTTTGTGAGGTTATTCATGACAAACTTAGTAATAGAAAATATCTAGAAAATACAAGCATAAAGAATTTGGCATACGACCCCACATATTCACAATTGAATCACTCAAGGAATTTCACTACACAAACTCCATAGCAGAATAATGAGATCAGAGTAATACCATATAAATGTTGTAGGCTACACACACATACACACAGTGGGGCATTATTCTGTAAGGGAAATTCTAACAATAATAAATAGCTATAATGAAACATATAAACTGATGTTAATTATATTTATATAGTTACAGTGCTGTTGCATTGGCCCAATTGATGGAATCATCCTTGACCATGAAGAGCCTTACATCAAGAACATACACATTACCACTCTCCGTTCCAATGTAAAAGTGTCCGGCTAACTTAGACAGACAAGCAGACGTTATGGTCTTTCCTCTAAAAAATATTTTAAAAATAATTTTAAAACCATGAGACTATATTATGTCATATTTACTCGTCTCTTTCCATGACAAATTCATTTGCAATCTTCAGTGCTGGTAGACCACTTTCCCCTTCCAGCTGCCACAAAAGGAGAGAGTTGTCATCCTGAACTGTCAGATATTGATACTAGAGAGAGAGAGAGAGAAAGAGAGAGATAAGAGGAAAGATAAATGAGATATTATCAGCTACAACACCCACACATATGCTGTAAAAGCAAAGGACATATCTACATTGTACACATACACATATCTCAACATGCCATTACACCCACACCATCATCTACAAAGAGTAATAACTACTCCCTATCTAATCATAAAACATGCAATCGTAAAATATCAATTATTATTAATGTGACACATCTGTATTATTATGAACTACTATAATAAAAACAATAATGATATCAATAGCAAATGAGTATAATAATAATAATAATAATAATGTGCTTCATTATTAACTTAAAATATTATGTACTTTATAATTCTAGCTCTAAGGACTATTGTACATGTATTACTTACCAGTGAGCCAAAGGAGAATATTTTGGTTATGGTCTTCTCTGAACTGGTGCGACCAGCAAATTCCACACCTGGTTGACCATAGCTGTAGGCAATCAAAAATAAGAGAGACAAAGAATAAGAGAGAAAAGGAAAAGATAAACATCATTATGTTTTTTGACACTCCATGCTGCATTATTAAGGCAAAAAGAGAAAGAGAGAGAGAGAGAAGCAATTTCAATTTTTGTTTACATTCTCAGTTCTCCGGTTTCAGTCCCAATGGCTAGCAGTTGACTTTCATCATCAAAGTTAATGGCAGACGGTGACATAGGAAAGCCATGGAATACACTCTAACAGTAGAAATATGAGGAAATGGATCAGGACAAGGTGAGGGAGAGAGAAAAACCACAAATAATATTAATTACTCACAAATATGCTATAATTGCATCAAACTGTGAACATACCAATGATTATTAGTAACACTAATGTGCATCTCCAGTATGCGTATGTGTGTGTGTGGTGTCCAATAAGCAGGTGATCACTGTGTGTGTGTATCAGTTGTTAAGTCCCTTTGAGAATACAAGTTACACAATACACAACTGATGCCAAGGCAAAACACTAAGGTCAGCGTAACTTGAACTCTCTTACACTCAATCCAACAATCCCAGGACTTTAAAAGCAGAGCAGGTGCACCATACGTAATTTTAAAATTGCTATTGTTTGCTAAAAAATGCATTGCTCCACAAACAGGCTCGTGTATTGATTTAGTGACAGCTGGAGGAAATGGGCTACACACACGTAACCCTCTTCTAACATTGTCTGCCACATTGCTACAGGCTTTGATTGCTGTTGCTTAATTACTATAATCACTGGTTCACACTTTCTGTTGTATACAATTCATTGCTTTAGAGGCTCAAAAATATTTGTTTAATAGGGATTCAGAGTCTCGGTGCAGTGCAGAGTTGCATTTCATGATTATAGAATGATTTCTAGCGGAATTTCTCACTTACCTTCCTGAAGGCAAAATGGTCGTGGGAGAGTGGCTCGATCCTAGAGACACCAGAGCCCTTCCGCTTAAAACGAGGCATCCTTTTACTGGATTTCTGCTGCTTGTAGAGAGCTAGGAGGAAGAAAGAAAAGGAGACTGGCAGTGACGGCAAATTTTTTAGAATACCACCGACCGGCCCTGAATAGTGTCCAAGGTTATACGGAAATGCACGGAGAGGGAGTCCATTGAGAATATACGGAAAATTATTTTGTATATTGGGGCGGGGCTAATCAGGTGCAAGCTCAAAAAATTTTAGAACAGCAGGCCAGCCATCTCTATTCTCTCTCTCCCTTAGTCTTTTATTTAAAATTTAAAAAGGACATGAAACCTTTCTTCTCTCGGACGTTGAGCACCATATCTGACGTCGTGACATTCGGTCCAGTGAGGAGGAGACGGACAAACACGAGTAGCACCAACAGCAGCACTGATGGAAGTAGCTTCACTAACAGCGATCGCTACACGCACTCAATGCGTTCAGTGCACACCATGCCACCCCCTCCCTCTCTACCGGTTGGCTCTGTGTCTGAGGAAGTGGGTGGAATAACAGGTTCCTGGTCCATATACCACCATCCTTTCTCACCCTCCCCCGAGGTTTATGATGGTTTGGAGGACGATGTCATCTTTTGCAAGAATAACGTCTGTCGTAGGATAGCCAGGGCGTCAACGCCCAGCCCTCACGCTAGCCTCACGTACACAAGTAGCAGCGAACACGATCCTCAATCGTTTAAACTCAAAGAGATTGAAACGACACCCAATTCTCTCACGTCCTCTGTAACGACCACTATGCATGGAGAGGAGGAGGAGGAGGAGGAGGAAATTGAAGGATATATGTATATATGTACTCGTGGAGCTGACTTTGGACAGACTCTCATATTGAATTGGACTCCCAATAATAGCATGACAAACCACTCCAGAGTACAGACAGGAGATTCTGATCCTTCTCAAGAAGCCTATTCAAAACCTAATCAATTAGAGACTGGAGCCACTAGGGGAGGAGCTTGTAGTAGAGATAGAACTGAGAGAGAGCATGAAAGCTTGTCACTTGATTTAGGTAGAATGGAGTCGATAAGGATACTCTATCGTTACGAGTCTCCTACTGCCGGTATCTCAGGCGGGGAAGTCATCATATACTCTCAGGAGAGAAAGTATTTCATTTTTTCGTTTAAACACAACGGGCTCTACGACTTGATAAAAAAGTTTCGCTCGTGGCGGTACTTCACTTATGTGCACAACAGCGAAGCGAACCAGTACACCTTTACAATCATTAGGCCAAGACTCACTCTCTCCGAACTACACATAGAGGAAGGACTGGTGAGTGGGGTACTGACTGAGACCATGTGGGGTCAGTTGAAGGACCCCGCCGGACGTGTGCTGGATAAAAAATTAGTCTTACAAGTAAAGATTATCAGTTTTGTGACAATTTTAATTTCATATCTTTATCCCAGACCGTATTCTTTCGTGGGGTGGAGACCTCATTGCGTAAAGAAGTCTGGCTTTATCTGTTGGGTGTGGTTGATTTCGATAGCTCAGAGAAAGTGAGGAGGGAGAAGTATGAAGAGAGACAGACAACATACAAGCAACTCAATGAGAAAAGGTAAACCTCTTTGTTTATCTTATCCGCCCACTTACTCTATTAAATTGCTTTTCTATAGAAAGTCTAATCAGTCTTTGTTGTCACATAGCAACGGAGCCACGCCCACAAATAACAAACTGACCCAGATGTTGCAACAGGTTGACAATGATATTAGAAGAACGGACCGTTCACATCCTTTTTATAAAGGAGAAGATAATCCTAATCTTGACAGACTTAGGTAATATATACAAGAAGCTGGTTTGCTTTTTGTTTTTTTTACAAAGTATACTTTCCTCTTTTTTTATCTTGTATAGGCAAATTATTCTAAACTATTTGCTTGAATATCGTAAAGATATAACATACTGTCAAGGTAAAAAGGAAACAGAGAAATAGGGTATTACCATTTTTATCTACTTGTAGGCATGACTGATATATTAGCTCCAATTTTGATGAGTCTCGATAATGATGCCGAGTCATTCTTCTGTTTTACTCGGCTGGTAGAGAGGACGCCATTTTTTACAAAAGCTGGCAAAAGGGTGACACTCCATAGACAACTGGTGAGAAGAGATTATCACAGCTTATCCAATCGAATTCTTTACACGATGCATACATTGTATAGTTGTGATATTATACTCAATTAGGATTACAATTATGCTTTGTTGAAGTACTATGTAGTCTATACATAGTCTCTAATATCTATGGTTGTACTATGTGTGTACTATGTTGAATAGCATAAGTAGATTTATGAGCAGCTTTAAAATTTCATAATAAATCCAAATTGATCAGAATCAACTCAAACTAAGTATACAACATCAAAAAAACATGTATATGCATCAGGAAAAAATATAAAAATGGAGAATTCTTTGCATCTGTATTGATTCAGTATTACTACGCTTTGATGACACAATTTTAATAAAAACATTCTGTTAAGCCTCAATTACAATTACTTTATGTAATTTGTAATTATAATTGAGCCTCTAATTACAAGTACGTGTACATGTACAACCGTACATGTATGATTGTAATTGACCCCAGATCTGAGTGATAGTTGCAATGTGTCAATTTATCTTCTTTTTAGGTTCTGCTCAGTAGCCTTCTCTCTCTCCTCCTTCCTTGGTTCTTCTTTTATCTCTCAGACATTGAGGAAGGCCTCTCACTCCTCTTTGCTCACAGATGGCTACTGATAAGCTTCAAGAGAGAGTTCAAAATGGAGGACACCCTCCTCCTCTGGGAGGCCTGTTGGACAAACTACAGTACCAACTCCTTCCACCTCTTTCTATGCATTGCTATCATGGCCATATATGGTCAAAAAGCACTTGACGAGGACATGACACTCAACGAACTAACTGTGTATTTTAACGGACTTGCAAACATGATGCCAGTTGATATCGTTCTCTCACAGGCGAGAGGGTACCTCTATCAGTTCTCAAAGTGTCCCGAGGTCCCTTGTGTCCTTCGGTGTATAATGCCCGACAGTTACTGGGAGACGAGTACTAGTCGTGTTATCTGTGAGGGGTCTGGGACGTGTTGTAAAGGGGAGGAGTCACGTCTGTTACATATATTTTAAGGAACTTCTCCTATTATCTAGTTCATTTTAATTTGTCGGTTTTTTTTCACATGTTATCATTTTCAAACCCTCGGGAATACATAATTGATCAATCACTTGGAAATTGTAATCATTATTATTATTATGATAGCCTTTACTGTTATTATTATTATAACTGAATGTCGTCTATTAATTTGTATTGTTTGTATAATAATAATAATAATCATTATTTTCATTGAAAGTTAATAAATAATAATATAAAGATCTGGGAGGAGTTATACTTTTTGATAATAATAATAATAATAATATACAATTTTTAAATCAGAAATACTGCCATTTTCCTAATATAACGTCTTTGATAGCTTCTACAAATTGAGCTGGCACCCAATACAGCCAGTACCTAGAGTTCTCTGTTGGGCCTAATTGTAATGCCTATTGTATGTGCATGTACATCATTATTATACCACAAATTGATTAAAATAGTATAGCCCAATTAGCAACTAATGGTGCTACTGAAACTAGCACCATAGAAATGGGATGGATTAATACAATACACAATATAATGTATAGCATACCAGGCATTTAGCTCAGTTATATAATAACTAATTGGGGAGACTAATCAGGGCCTACTGCTTACCATTATATGATATTCCTCTTGTCCTTTGATTGGTTCAGATATTACTTTTCTAATGGATCCAAGTGGTACTTTATCAGTCCTCTCTATAACAAGAGTGAGGATGAACAGTAAATAATTATTATACAAACACACATTTGGTGGATATTTATTTTGAAAGGGAATTAAAGTCCACAAATGCCACAAAAATTAAGAATGACATACTGCAATCAAGTAAGTCATCTTTGCAATATTCAATAATTTGTCCCAAATAGTGTCAAGAACACATCGATGTGCAATAAAAAAACAGGAACCGGCCCCATGGCTATCCATCAAATACCTTTTGTTCCAATCCAAAGCTGCTCCAGCTCAAGTTTAAAATGTAGTCTAACTTTGGCACCGTATTTGTTGCAAAGTCCAGATATAGGGGAAGGAGGGAGTGGATCGTTGCTGTGCTTGATACCTGGGTATACATCGTCAGGCTTGCCTTTATCAAGAATCTTTTTGTGTTGAGTTTGCTCTGAGAGTGATTCCTTTACAGAGTCTAATGAAGATAACGGATCAAGAAAAGCAAAATGACACTACACCATACCTGTTTCTTCCGAAGCACTTTGTTTTAGCTCTGCAGGGTCAGGAGGGCTAACTGCTATTACGTCAGTAATGGTAGACCCAATTACCATTATCTTTATCCCCGGGACTATCTTAGCTTCTTTTAGAGTTGAGACATCTTTTAAATTACCTATATATACATAACAGTTATTTTACTTGTGCATTAGGTCGTATCATTATTAGTAGGTTATTTTTTAACCCTCAGGTATTATAAAGGATTAATTTTAATGATCAGCCATATTCACCTTTGTACATGAGTTTCATCATTCCTGGAGGTATACCTACAGTAGATACAGTCAATAACTAGGTTCATAAAGTGCCTCAATACCTGTTAACGAGTGCAAGTGTGTCTTGAGTGCTCCAATTGTTTTATTTTCTGAAAAATCAATATTGTACACTTCCTTTTTCCACACGGCTCTGAAACTTATGGCACCTAAATTTCAGACAAAATCAACCACAAGGTTTCATTGTAAAACACAACTTACCATTGGTGGACTCTCCTCCAGCTTCTCCCTCATCACCATTCCTAGCCTCGGCCATTTTGGGAGGTGGCTAGGCAAACTGCGCATGCGCAAACTAACCTTTCTGAAAATTAATCGCGCCAACTGTGCTACTGCGCATGCGCAGATCGTCGGTAAATTGAATAAAAATAAATAAAAAATTTTAAATGTTATGGCGGGCGCCGCGTGAGCAATCAGGATCACGCATTCCAACGAGAACTTGATTGGAAAGGTTTTTTGAAAGATACTACAACAAGAAAAGAGAGAAGAAAGGCAAGAAAAGGACTTTTCCTGTAGAAATAAGCAGTTAAAATCAGTGATCAATATAGAAGTGACTCCTAAATGGACGAAATGTCTTGTCACGCCGTTACATCATTCATGGACCTGCCGGACGAGGTCCTTGCTCACATACTTAGCTACCTACCTCTCCTTGACCTGTACAACACAAGACTGGTGAGCAAGGGGTAGAGTAATCATTGTGTGTTGTAGCTTGTTACATATTGATTGGCAATAATCAAGAGGGCTTGAGGCCTCCACATGTCCAGCTACGCCTTCTTTCTCTCGCACGACGCTCTCTCACCCTTTGAATTATTCACATGCCTTCTAATAGCTATCTCTCTTCAAGCCACTTACATACAGCATAGCACTATCTATTTTGTGTAGAGCATGTTTTTTGTTTACATGTAGGTATCTGCTAGGCTCTGTGATCTGGTTGAAGACAGTAGATACTCTCACACGCTCTGGGCCTCTGCCTGTCTTGAGTCAACTACATGGCCTTCTTACAGGAACTTGTCTATAATTGAAAGGTAGTGCCTTGCCTACATGTTTGCATGCATGTTCAATGAAGTTGTGGTATTGCCTAACCTCAAAGTCACAAACCACTTTCTCTTACTTTTTACATTTTTAGAGCTGCTAGGCATGGCAACATTGAAGCACTCATCAAACTAGCTGTTGCTTACCTTTACAGCCAAGGAGGTAAGAGAGGAGAGAGGGAGAAGGGGCGAGATGAAATTATACTAATACATTATCTCGTTTAGTCCCTGATGGCCCTGGCAAAGGAACAATCAATGCTTTTAATGGACAAAAGGCATCAAACTATCTAAAGAGAGCCGAATCACTCGTAACTCACAGGCAACCATTCTCTTGGGTCTTTATACGACCTCCTTTTGCTACAACCTGTGTCTGCTGTAAAGCATGCGTTTGTCATAATATGAAAAACCACTGCATCTCTCCTAATAAGGTAAAAAGAGAAAGAAAGAGAAATAGGAGAGAGAGAGAGAGAAAAGAATGCCTAGATAGTGTGGTCAAGTTACTAACAGATTATATAATTGTTCATGAATACACTATGTGGCTATGATGATCTTACATCTTTACACTATAACACAACGTCACATTTATAGCTTCTTTGACCTAAAATGTGTATCTCTTGCTCTATGTGGCTATGTGTGGCAGATGTCAAAAGCTGTTAAATATAGGTTGTCAATAATCACCTAGTGTGAACGAGTGCAAAACAATATTTTGTTTATTGGTTGTCATGGCAAGTTTTTTGAACTGCAAATAATCAGTTAGAGACTGTGAATGGATGGTGCTTATAGTTCCAATGGCTTCATGAGGGCATTGGGTGCAGATGGCAGTTTCTTGTTCCCCTATGGGGGCAGCTCTTGGGATTCACCTTAGATAAACAATTTTGTTAAGCAAGATCTCAATGATTATAACTGTCATCAATAATAATATTCATGACCATGATTTCCCATGCCTGCCATACACATGCACCTGATGTCTCATAACTTGTTTATCTTTTTTACCAGGAACTGATACCCAGTCTTTTTTATGTGGTTGGCAAAGCTATGAGTCACTATGAGGTAATTGACCTTTCTCTACCTGTATTGACAGCATGTGCACCCATTATATATCTGCATAGAATCATGAAGTTGAAGAGAGAAGACAAGCATACCAGTGGTTCAAGCAAGGCTCATTACATGGCTGTCCTTACAGCAGCTTTGAGAACTGGAAAACAGAGCAGTGCTTTCAGGTACTCAGAGCATGAATGACTTAACTTGTTATGATAAACACTCATTATCATCTATACAATAGGATGAGGTGCAATCTGTTAGACAATTGAGAAAGATAGTCACCTCAAGAGACACCTGTATTGATGCACAGGTAAGTAAATATAATGTAGCTTTGTCTTACTTTCCTGCATATAAAGCTTAAGAGTGTCCCCCATAAATAAAGCCCAGAACACACACACACACACACATATCCATTTACCTTTTAATTGATAGTGTATTAGTGTTACATTACATTAAAGTCCTTATACAGTAATGTGTCAGCTTTTATCTCCCTAATTCTCATTTACATGTATGCCTATATTATGTCTTGTACATTATGTGTAGTTTGAATTGGGTAAGTTGTATGCTAAAGGGAAGTTTGGAGGAATCACAAGGTTTCATGCTTACCAGTACGTACAACAGGTACAATAAAATTATAGCATACAGTGTACATTGTACTTAATTTTCATTGTTTACTAAAAGATTGTGAGATCCTCACCTAGTCTGCTCTCTGCTTCAATCTATGATGCTCAGCCAGATGTCAATGAGGAAATGGTGTAAGTAATATCATGTGTCTCTCTCCTTTCCCCTCTACTGCACCTGTGTTTACAATGACTAGTACAATCAAAATACCTGGGAATAAAATATTAATATTATTTCTCACTTACTCAGTTTCATTCTTCTTGATTGGATTGTTGAAGTAGCCGAGATGAAGTCCTTCTCCACCAAGACCCTCCATCTTGCCATCAGCCTCATACAGCGCTACATGGTTGCTAGGAAATTGAAACGTTCGCGTCTCCAACTCCTCGGAGTGACTGCTCTGCTCCTAGCAGCAAGGTAAAGAAAGAGAGTCAACTGTCAAGTTGATGTTACATAATTTCATCTAATTTATTAATAGGTGGACAGCTGTGCCTATTATTACTATCAGAGAGGCTGCTTGGCTTACTGATAACACATACAGATATGATGAGGTTGTGTGTATGATGGGTGAGATTGTATCAACACTACATGGAGAGATTCAAGTATGTTTATACTAATTACTAACATGCACCAATGATAGAGTAAATTATTATCATAGCTAAATTTATTTTGGATGGGCATAGTGTAAGCTTTCAGGAGAGAGCAGATGGAGGGATAGAGATAATAATTGTACTCATTTTTCATTTAGCTTACTCACGATGTACATGTACATGTGCATGTACATGTACCATATGATTTACATGTACTCTCTTTTCTAATCATAGAAGCCTACAGTTCCTGATTACTTGGAAATGTTTGAACTATTGGTCAACGCTGATAAGAAAAGTTCCTGCCTTGCAGCTTATGTCTCTGAAAGTGCTGTACTCTTTCCTGACTTTGGAAGGTAATTTAATACTAATAGTCAAATACTGATTCACATTATGCATTCTTGTAGGTATACTGCTGCACAGATAGCTGCTGGGTGCCTCCTATTAGCCAGGGTACTCCTAGAGCAAGGTAATTAGCTACATCTGTATCAACAACATTGTATTTTAATAATAACTTTCAATTTGGTTTACTTTCATTCTCTCCTTAGAATTGCCATGGCCCAGTGCACTGGTCGAGGCCACTGGTTTAACGGTCCCTGATTTATACCACTGTACTTCACTACTTTATTCTAAATGGTAATGAGAGAGAGAGAGTGTAGGATAAGAGAGAGAATACATGTATCCTATACACTTTACTATTAAATAATCTTTATTATAGCTTGACTGATGATGGTGTTGTTACTGATTACAGAGGAGTCAAGCTATGTGCCATTAAAACAAGGTAACACAATTAAATACAATTAGTTAAATTATTATTAATACTCTCTTGTTATAGATACAGTGATGAAAGATTCCTGTGCATCAGCGAAATGGAGGTAGAGAAACAAACAGATTATTTATTAGTATGTCATCCTCTCTCTTTCTCTCCTTATAGTTCATGAATTATTACATGATGAAAGACAAATTAGGTGTGAGGCCGTATTACCAGAGACGCTCGTCAAACTCTTCACTTTTAAAGTACAGAGAACTCGTGTCTCAGAGTTTTGTTGAGGAATTTGACGCCCAATCACTTTCTGATGTCTCGTTTGTGACCTCTCCCCTCCCTCCTATAGTCCCTTCTTCTGCTGATGGTTATTCTCCTCGTGCATCCATTGACTCCTTTGTACCATCACCCATCATTTTTGAAGATTCAAATTCCTGTTCCTCTCCTTCTCCCTCCTCCTCCTCCTCTTCCTCCTCTCCAACCTGCGAGAGACAAGAGAGACCAGTACATTCTATCAAGAAAGAGAGACGAAAGAAAAAGGAGAGAAGACACTCGAGTAACAAGCTCCTCTCCTCTAGCCTTCCTCTTCTTCCTGGTATAGAGCCGCTGGTTATTTCTGAGGAAACCGTCGGTTTTAATTCCTCTTTGATGGTCACCCAGAGAAATGTTCACACTCCTCCAACCTCAAGACGAAAGTCTCTCCTCCAGCATTGGAACTCTACCATTAAGGCCTCGTCGAATCATGGACACTCTCCAATTAAAGCCAACCCAGTAAGGAAAGGGCAGAGAAGACCGTTGAGCTCCTTAGCAAGTAGTCACTGCTCATTATCAAATGTGTCTCCTGTTTGCAATCATGAGGAAGGGGAGGCAGAGATGAATGAGAGAGGACTAGAGCCACCTCATGTGCCCAGACCAGCCAGCAGCAGAGAGGAAAGGGAGGATGGAGAGAGATCAGTGCACAATCATCAGCACAAGGCACTCCAAGTGGAGAAGAGAGCATTCTCTGATCAGAATCTACTACTAACTCACAATAAAAGGCATCGTAGCTTTAAGAGTAATAATTGTATGTGAACTTCAATTGTCCTCATAGAGTCTGCACCCACTCAATATAACACGGTATTCTGAATATTATTTTAATTCTGAGCATGAGCTTATTAATGTATTACATTTTGGACTATTTATTAATTCATTTCTGTCTATGGAACTTATTGTATCATACATGTGTATGTGTGTGTAGTTTGTACTATAATAATAATAATAATAATGATAGTTAATGTTGTGTATAATAATAATGATGTTTGATGATAATTCTTCTCCTTGTATCATAATTTCATTATAACAATAAATTATCTTTGGGAATTAAAATTGACAACAAAGTGTGCTATGTATATGTCAAGAAATATGGCTATTGCAACTAGCATATGTACTGTACATTGTCTTTATTGTAATGGAAATACTTAATATTCTAACATTCCTTAAAGGTTGATTTACTATTTATTCTAATTAATGAGCAGGGGCTACGTCTTCCAATTGATTGGTAGCCTCCTCTTCCGGTAGGAGACACTCCTTCCCAAGGTTCTCCTCATCCCCTCCGACGGTCTCCTCCTCACTTGATGTCTCCCATTGACCCTCTTCATCCTCCCATTCACCCGCTTCCTCCTCCCATTCACCCGCTTCCTCCTCCCCTCCTTCTCCTTCTCCTTGTACGACGTCATTTGACTCGCTCTCACCAGCAGCTTCACCTTCGTCTGAAGACACTTCCCATATCTGTGGAGCCTGTAAGTGATCATTGGCCGTAGCAGTGGGCGGCAGGTATGGCAGGAAATGATGAGCGTTTGATTCACCGGTACCAAAAATTGTCGAAATGACGGAAGACGGATTCATCCAAGGTGGAACGAATTGAGCGTTTTCTTCATCTTCGTCATCATCATCATCATCATGATCTGGGTCATTGTTAAGATTCAAGTGATGAGGAAGAATATCGATAAGACCAGAAAGAGGATCAAGGATTAGATTAGCCCCACCAACCACTTCATCAGTAAGAAATTCAACATCATCTTCCTCCTCATCCTCCCCTTCTTCGTTGCTATCTGGATCTAAGAGATCTTCAAAAAAATCATCAGCAGGATCATTAGGAAAAATGCGATCCAATATCTGTAGGATATGATCCGTCTCTAGAGCCTCCTCCTCAATATGTATGAGCACGGAACCATCTTCATCATCTTCATCGTAATATTCATCTTCTTCCTCTTCCGCTTGAATTTGATCAGGGACATTGCGATCAACTTCATCAACGTCATTAAGTGGGAGGATCTCGTTTCCACAGCGTACAGTGTTATAAGAACCACAGTCTATACACTTGAGTCCAATGAAGTGGAACAGGGCATCACCTTCCTATCATAAATAAGGATTGCAATCCTGTCACTAGCATGATACTAATTAACTTACATTTCGACAATCCCTACATTGAATCTGTGCACAAAGTCAGCAAAAAAGAGATAAAGTAATAAAATGAGGAGACTATCAAATGAAAGTACCTTGACGCTGAAGCTTTGCAGTTCCGGAGGTAGCACCCATTGCTGCCTCTCTTCATCCATCCTCTCCCACTGACTGCTCATATCAAGCATACTGGTCTGGCACTGTGGGCACTGGTATAGGCTATTGTAAGAGGAGGAGCATGACACACATAGTACCATTGCAAACTAATGCTCACTTGTTCTTTAGCATTTCCTGAAAACAAGTACTAGAGAGGGAAAAGAGGGATTGGGAGTATTATATTACCGTATACTGGGATATTTTCGCGTCACTAAATTTTAGCGAATCTTGCATTTGTAAGATTTCATGAAATAAAATTTTTCGCAAATAGCTTACAAACTCCACCACGTGGCAATGAAAATGCAGAATTTCACAATTTAAATTTTTGCGACGGAGCAAAAAAACCGCGAAATCTGCAAAAATTTGGCTACTTGAAAATTTCCTAGTATACGGTATTTATACTTGTGTAAAAGGTGCCCACATCTTGGAACATGTGCAGCAGTTCTTGAGGAATGGAGATCCTACATTATTATGTAATACACAGAAACAATCACAAGTAGTAGTTGGAGTTTATTAGTTGTATAATGCATTTACCTCCATACAGACAGGACAGTTAGAATGGGATGCTTGCTGGACACACTTGTGAGCTTCCTTCAGGGACTTCTGCAGACACAGGCCACATGTGTCACAGTGAAAGAAGTTATCCCGACCTCCAATCCTATCCAAATAAGCACTGACGATAAAAATTTAGACTAAAGGATGTACAGACCTGCATATTCCACACTTTGAGCAATGATACTGACCCTTCTCTGCGTCATCAAAAAGATTACAGACAAAACAAGTGTATCTTGAAAAGGTTAAAGAACATTTTATGCATGTTTTGGCTATCTAAGTGGAAAGAGGGGAAGAAAAAAAAGAGATAAAAAGCGAGCCGCACAATGTACACTTTTCTGGCTGCTACGGATTCAAGTTCCAAACACTTTCAAACACGACAATAATGAGTGTTATCTAAAAACAGTGATAATAGCTGCGGAGTCCATTTACATAGACCAGCCGCTACTTATCTCCTTAGACAACTCAAGCATGACTAAGTGTGAAATCGGAAGTGCTCTCAAAACAACCCTTAAAATCCGATAACAATCAGTGTTCAGCCTGCTTTCCATCCTCTTTTAAACTCACTTTTTGTCTCTCTTCGCATTTCCGACAGACTATCTCTGTGATTGCAAACCGATCTATCTCGTGCAACTCCTTCTCGTTATGGCAGACACGACAAGGATAGACTTTATTGCAGCACGGGGACTAAAGAAAAGAGAAAAGAAAGAGGGGAAAGGTGGAGAGGTGTGGCTTGTTCTTTTAAAAAAGTTGCATTCTCAGTGGTATCTAGACTAGATGCACAGTTTATTTAAGATGAGACATGGATTGGCATTACCATTATAAATACATGTATACACACTGAAAAGCCTTTGGAGACCATTCATATAATATTCCCCCCATTTTGATTCAAATTATAAATACAATCCAGCTAGAAATATCTCATACCACGAGTGAGCATCCCCTAGAGTAATGGCTGCACAATTTCCTAAACTCTTCTGGAGTCTGGACTGTCCCCTCTTCAGAAGCTTTCACTAAAATCTTTGGACTTTCACTGCACTTCTCAAGTGCCTTCTCTGCCATCATAAATAATTTGACGGGGATCTGAATAAAATTTACGGAACACAGGAAATTTATACAAAATCGTCAACTTAGTATACGAAGATCCCCGGAGACGATAGGCGTTGCTGTATCCATAGATATTAATATTATCGCACCAAGACACGCCCACCCACGTGGAATGATGGCCAAGAAAATGAAAGGTTCTTCTTCTTCTTCTTCTTCAGCTTCAGTGGAAATGTTAAAGAAAGAAGGTAGCAGCAGAGCCTCCATGATAAAGAACAAGATACTTCGCCAGGCAATGTACAGGCGAGAGAAGCTCATTAAGTTGAAGGAAAAGAGAGAGAAAAGAAAGAAACTGGCAAAAGAAAGAGAACAGCTTGGAGAAAATGTGAGTTTAGGCTAGCCCGTGAGGTGTTGCTCAAGTTCAGATACTCTAGGCACCTCCAAAACCTATTCCTAAGACACTGGAGAGTACGAGAGAGCCAGAGGAGACTACAGTCCTAGCAGATGATCCCGAAATACTTCAAGATGAAAAGACTGATGAGTTTTCAGGATACTTTGACAGGAAAACCAGCCCCAAAATACTTATTACATCGTTCACACGAGCTCACTTGGTATGATGCAAAATTTTAATTGGGCAATTGTGTTATATTTTTATTGTTAGAGGAGCAATCTATTGATGAGAGAACTGGCAGACTGTATACCAAACTCTGACATGAAGTGGAGGAGAGGGTCAGAAATAAAGAGCATCATTCCCGAGGCTATAGAGAGAGACTATACTGACATTATAATAATTGAAGAGAACAGGAAAATACCAAGTAAGAATTAAAAGAGAAGGATGAAAAGACATTTTATCATTTGATTGTTAGGTGGTCTGTGGTTGATTCATCTTCCTGAAGGACCCACTGCTTATTTCAAACTGACCAATTACAAGAGAGGACGTGAGATAAAGGGTCACGGTACGCCCACGTCTCATTACCCGGAGGTAATACTGAATCGGTTCTCAACGAAACTCGGTCACACTATCGGTCGTATGTTTGCGTCTCTCTTTCCCCAAGACCCAAACTTCAAGGGACGCCGTGCAGTTACTTTCCACAATCAGAGAGACTTCATCTTTTTCAGGCATCACAGGTAAATTAGGAAAAAAAGACAAAATATTATTTCTTTTTTTAAGGTACATTTTTCGTGATTCTTTGAGGGTTGGGCTGCAGGAGCTTGGTCCAAGGTTCACTTTAAAGCTCAGAACTTTACAGAAAGGAACCTTCGATACAAAGTTTGGACAGTACATGTGGATGCACAATGTAAGAGAAGTATTTTTGTGAATTTAAAAATGTTTTATTTTTTATAATTTTAGCGTAAGAAGATGGACACCAGTAGAAGACGATTCCACTTGTGATTTTATTCTTTAAAAAACTAAATAAATTATTAATTATTCTTACAAAAATATTATGAAATACAAAAAAATTTTGTTTAGTTTTCATGAGGTTTATTATGTACGAGTCTAAAGTACTTCTGGTAGGTGTGGCCTATCTGTTGCGGCATAAACTGCATGTAATTGAACCAGACTAGGAAACCAAGGAAATGCAGGCAGGAAAAACCTGATATGAGCACGGGGAACAAATCAGGCAATCTTGCAGGTGGAGTCACAAAATGAGAGGAAATACACAAAGCGAAAAACAAACCCATCGAGACATAAAACTAAAAATGAATGCCCATAAGTTATTTTAATTAATGAGCACCTACCAAAAGGTTGATTCGTCTGTCTTGGTTGTGCATTTTATAGGAAAGTCGGGGAAGAAAGAGGTAACTTGAAAGAAAAAAGAATAAAGAAAGAGACCAGGTGGGCAGTACCAGACCATCCTTGACCAGTAATGGATACATACTAACGATAACAAGGACTTGCAATATTATATTGAAGTGGTGCTGTTACCTGAATGTGGCCACAAGGATGAACCAAGTGCTGACAAAAGGATGGACAACTGCTAGCAAACTAACAGGACTAGGAAGAGATAAAGAATGCTGTATGTAATTGCTATATTTTTTTAATTGGCTACAAAATTAACTTTCGATTTTTGTTAGATTTTTTGAGACATAATGATGCCCTTACACTATGCAGTAAGCTCTGATTAGTTGCTGTATACAATGTACATGTATATTATGCTATATATCCACTAATTCATGGACTATTGGCTTTGTGTGTGTGTGTTTGTAAGATAACTTACATGACAGCTAATAAAATTGACTTCTCATGAACTTGAAATGAAAATAAAAAGAAACTAAGGGCAGAATTAACCTAGAGAGACAAAAAAGTGACTTTATTATAAAGATCTATTCTATACTCTTACCAATGAGTGTAAAAACCTGTATGGTGTTGGATAAAATAAGAGATTAATAGCAGAAGGAACAATAGAAAGAATAGTAGTCCAAAAACTAAAGAAAGAAGGATCAGTATCACTTAGGCCACTTAATTAGTTAATCATATAGAGAGCATACTGTACATGCAATGTATATGTTAACATACCACAGTTGTAAGAGAACTCCTCTTGACAGTAGCAGCTTTAGCTTTATTAAAACTGAGAGAGAACACCAAAAATTTGCTACTTTGTCCTAGCAAAAAAAAAGGATTAAAAAAATACTGCCTGTATATGACTCACTTCATATAAGCCCCGAGAGAATGGGAACAATCTGTGAAGGACTTGTTGAATTGATGAAATGCTTGATAAAAATGGCAGCCAACTATAGTGATACATTTTTGACAAAATTTGGCCAATGACCAAAATTGACATGTTTTATAGTATAGAGACTTTGGCCTGATTTTTGAGCAACTTTAGAAATTTGCAAAACAAACCAATTTTGATTGGAATCAGCTCAAACTTTCTATGCAACATAAGTACACACAAAAACCCATTAGTTCCATTGTCACAAAATCCGTGACAAGCAAAAACCCATTAGTTCCATTGTCACAAAATCCGTGACAAGCAAAAAACCCATTAGTTCCATTGTCACAAAACCTGTGACAAGTAAAAACCCATTAGTTCCATTGTCACAAAATCCATGACAAGCAAAAAACCCATTACTTTCATTTTCATGAAATCCATGACAATTTTTGGCCCGATTTTGGAGCAACTTTAAAAATTCTTTAAAAATCCAATTTTGATCCTAACTAGCTCAAACTTTCTATGCAACATAAAAACATGTATATGCATCAGAAAAAAATTATAAAAGTGGAGAATTCTCTTCTTTACATTTTTGATAAAATTTGGCTAAGAACCCTGTACTGTAGTACAGGGACTTTGGCCCAATTTTGGAGCAACTTTTAAAATTCATAAAAAAATTCAATTTTGATTGAAATCAGTTCAAAGTTTCTACGAAACACAAGTACATGTATATGCATCAGAAAAAATTATAAAAATGGAGAATTCTCATCTTTTCATTTTTGACAAAATTTGGCCAAAATCCCTGTACTATAGTACAGGGACTTTGGCCTGATTTTGGAGCAACTTTTAAAATTCGTAAAAAATCCAATTTTGATTAAAACCAGCTCAAACTTTCTATGCAACATAAGTAAATGTATATGCATCAGAAAAAAATTATAAAAATGGAGAATTATCTTCTTTTCATTTTTGACAAAATTTGGTCAAGAACCCTGTACTGTAGTACAGGGACTTTGGCCCAATTTCGGAGCAACACTAAAAATTTATTTAAAAAATTTAATTTTAATTAGATTCAGCTCAAACTTTTTACACCACATAAGTACTTATATACATTCGTAGGATATAAACCAAAAATAATACATTTTACTGACTTAAAAAATCAACAGTCAAAGGGCTCACCATATAAGGAAAGTGGCTATCACACACAATCCATACTTGATGATTGTTAAATATCTAAAAAAATTGAATTTAATATTAACTTGACAACTTCTCATTGCTAACCTTGCTTCTCTTTGTTGAAGAGCCTTCCCAAGTAAAAAGAAGAAGAAAGGTAGAGAATGATAGAGCTCCATCTGCTTATAGTTGAGGGAGAGGGAGAAGAAGATACAAGAGAGGAGGTTGTGGCGAGTGCAAGAAGCCAGAACAGCCCAGACTGCCAGCCCTAGACTAATAGAGTTGTATTGGAAGTGCCCATGATCAATTACTAATAGACTGGGTGTGACTAAAATTATAAATGCAGTGCTTAACTAAAATAATAAAAAGAGATAGAGTGCAAAAAAACTATGACAATTGTAAAGATATGGTACTCACTTTGTCCTCCAAAGAAAGAGAGCGATAGACTCCAAAAACAAAGACAAAAATGGCCGGAAAATATATTAAAATATCAGCAACCAAAACTATAGCAAGAGAGAGAGATCATGTGAGTATCATGTGACAAGATGCTCACCTGTGTAACGCATAAAGAGCTTATGATAATAGTCTTCTAATCCATGAGAATGATGCAATGATACCCAATCAGGATTAATAGAGTGAGCACTGGGTTAAAAATTCAAAATTCGTCTAATGTACTAATAAATTATTGGCACATACATTGCTCCACATATCCAGCTGTGGTAGGCAGTCAGTGGAGGGTAGTCAAGCCCCCAATATGAGAGATTATTATTCGATGTATTGAAGTACCTTAATAAAGAGATAATGTAAAAACATTCTATTTTATGAATTTTTACCATTCTGATGGGGAAAGGTGGTAGGTTATTTCCATCCAGTGCCTCTGAGCTTCAAAGTCACCAAACATTGGAGGTGTACCAGCACCTGTAATAAAACAAATAAAAATAGTTGACTGTTTTATTCTTTTGCTAGACCAGAGTAAGGATGAAGGGCAACTCCTAGTCTCAGTAGTATTGCTATAAGGCAGAGACACGCTCCAAGTCCAAATACTTCTCTTTTTGAGCTAAGCTTTGGTAAGAAAGAGTACTCGGTACCTCTAGCCATGTTCCTCCTTAACTTACTAACTTAGGAGACGGGGTTAAAAAATAAAATAAAAATTAATTAATAATTACGCGCTATGTGGGCATCGTAGTCTCGCGTAGCCAGACCACACCCTCCGTAGGCACGGAGGGTGTGGTCTGGATACGCGAGACTAGGGCAACGCGCCGTATCGTGGAAACTGTACCTGGCAACAGTATCTTAGCAACAGTAACTTAGCAACTGTAACTTAGCAACTGTAACTAAGCAACAGTTACCTAGCAATTGTAACTTAGCAACAGTTACCTAGCAATTGTAACTTAGCAACAGTTACCTAGCAACTGTAACCCTAGCAACTGTAACTTGACAACAGTTACTTAGCAACTGTAACTAAGCAACTGTAACTTAGCAACTGCAGTTACCTAGCAATTGTAACTTAGCAACAGTTACCTAGCAATTGTAACTTAGCAACAGTTACCTAGCAACAGTTACCTAGCAATTGTAACCCTAGCAACTGTAACCCTAGCAACTGTAACTTGACAACAGTTACTTAGCAACTGTATAACCTAGTAACTGTAACCTAGCAACAAGAAAAATATTTTTATATAAAATATACTTAATAATTCTTAGAAAATAAATATAAAAAATTAAAAATAACAAAAACATTATAATGCATTATAATATAAAAATAAATAATATAAATTAATAATAAAAAATAATTGATAAAACTTAAATTTAAAAATTAAATTTTTAATAATTATTATTATATTAAAATTAAGTTCATGAAATAATTATCATTAATTAAAGTTTTTTTAAAATTAATTAATTCCTTATAAATTTTTTTCTATTAATTCTAATTAATTTAATTTTAATTTTAATTATTTGATTTATTATTTTATTATTATTATTTAAAAAATTTTTTAATTAATTTTTAAAATTATTTTTAAAGTAAAAATTTAATTATCATTATGTGGGCAGAGTGGAAACAGTAGCCTGGCAACAGTAACCTAGCAACTGAAACTTAGCAACAGTTACCTAGCAACTGTACCAAGCAACAGTTACCTAGCAACTGTAACTTAGCAACAGTAACTTATCAATAATATTAAATAATTTTTAAAAATAAAGAAAAAAATAATAAAAAAATAAATTAAATAAAAAAATTAAATAAAAAATACACAAATAATTAAAAATAATAATTTAAAAAATTAAATTAAGAAAAGAATATTTATAATTAAAAATTACAATTTCTTTTTCACACCTTGAGGTGTTAAAAAAGGTGTCAAAAAAATTTTTTTTAAATCAAATTTAAAAAGTAATATTTATAATTAAAACTAAACTTCTTTTTCACACCTTGAGATGTTAAAAAAGGTGTCAAAATTATTTTAAAAAAATTACATTAAAAAAGCAATATTTATAATTAAAAATTACAATTTCTTTTTCACACCTTAAGGTGTTAAAAAGGTGTCAAAAAATAATTTAAAAAATCATATTAAGAAAGCAATATTTATAATTAAAAATTATAATTTTTTTTTCACACCTTGAGGTGTTAAAAAAGGTGTCAAAAAATAATTAAAAAAAATTAAATTAAGAAAGTAATATTTATAATTAAAATTACAATTTCTTAAAAATATTAAAATATTTTTAAAACTTATTTTATTTTTTATTAATTAAAATAATTTTACTTAGCAACAGTAACTAAGCAACAGCAACTTAGCAACAGTAACCTAGCAACTGTAACTTAGCAACAGTAACTAAGCAACAATAACCTAGCAACTGTAACTTAGCAACAGTAACCTAGCAACTGTAACTTAGCAACAGTAACCAAGCAACAGTAACATAGTAACAGTAGCCTAGCAACTGTAACTTAGCAACAGTAACCTAGTAACTGTAGCTTGGGCGCGCGAGCGGGCGCGGGCTTCGGTTTTATTTTATTATTATAATAAAATGGCGGCCGATACCAAAGGAGCCCTTTGTGTTGGTCTAGTTTGTCTTGACATTATCTACAGCGTAGATCACTATCCTAAAGAAGACGAAGACATTAGAGCTAGCGGACAAAAATGGGCCAAAGGAGGTAACGCGGCGAACACTCTTTCTGTTCTTGTTCAACTTGAGAAAACTCAAGAGGAGGGAGAAAAAAGACCTTGTGAACTACTTTCCACGTTAGGAGGAGGAATTGAGACAGAGTAATCTTTAATTGACCTTTATTATACTTATGTTTTGCTGTTCTAGTTATGTTCTTGCTGAACTCGATGAGTCTCGAATAGACCACGCCCACTGCAGGGTTTACTCTTCCCAGAAGCTACCAACTTCTTTTGTACTCCTCAATACTTCAAATGGATCAAGAACTATCATACATCACAGGTTCAATGTAAAATATTTTAGAATTTAATTTAGAATATTTTTAGAAATCTTCCGGAACTAAAATTTGAAGATTTTAAATCTCTAGATCTTTCAAAATACAACTGGATTCATTTTGAGGTAATTATTAATCTAAATTGTCCATTTTTTGATAAATTAAAACTTCCTACAAAGAATTGTTCACTTTTTCTTCTCAGTAGGGACGTAACCCTGACGAAACCGTTGCAATGGTTAGACACATCAGACAGTCTCCATACTCCCCAGTGGTTAGCATTGAGCTAGAGAAGAAGAGACCAGAGCTACTTGTACTGGCTGGCTTGGCTGATGTCCTTTTTCTTAGCAAGGAACACGCGAGTTATCATGGCTACCAATCACCAGAGGAGACATGTCTAAAGTTTCGAGATAAAGCTAAGGAAAAGTATGAGAAGATTGCTTTGTATGTCCTCCTACACTCTTTCCTTCTCTCAGTGCTATTCTCATCTGTGCTTGGGGTGAGAGGGGGGCTGTTGCCATGGATGCTACAGGAGAGGTATGACATGCATTAACTGTCTTGCATGCAGACATGGGATCATGGCTATAGTACTTGTTAGTTACTCAGCAACTGTCAGTTCATTTTGTGAATTTTCAGTTGCTCTAAAATTGGGCCTAAGACCGTGTACTATAGTACAAGGACTTTGGCCAAATTTGTATGTAAATGGGTTCAGTCTTTCTTTTTCTCTCCTGTCTAGTTATGTAAATCTGATGCGTTCCCTCCTCCAGGTGGTTTAGTGGACACATTAGGAGCTGGGGATACATTCAATGCTGGCGTGATACACAAACTAATGAGGGGCGTGCCTCTACACGAGGCTATAGTGTTCGGTTGTAAAATAGCAGGAATAAAATGTGGAAGAGAAGGATTCTACAATTTGACTGATGATTTGTAAATTTTATAATTTAACAATAATAATAAAGAGATGCAGTCTGCTAAAGAGGCATAATATGTATATAATAAATCCCGAGTGATCCTGATGACTGATATATAAGTGTTTGTCTTTAGCTTAATCCAACGTCGAGTGCCATCATTACAACAAATCCAATCATGCCTCCTAAACTACACAAGCGACCATTACCACTATAAGAAAAGGTACATTATTAATGTTTGATTTGGACCACGCCTACCTGGCACATCCTTCTGGTATAATGTCATCTATAACTACATATATCATTGCACCAGCAGCAAAGGCTAATGCATACGGGAGAAGTGGCTCAATCAACTAGAGAACGAAACAGACAAATTAAAGCAATATGCTATACTTATTGTCCTTACAGTGACAGCGATTGCTCCTAACACACCAGCGATTGGTTCAACCATTCCACTTAACTGACCATACCTGTAATTATACATAAACAGAGACTGATTCTCTTCCTCCTCTCATTATCATTATTATTCTTTCCTCTTAGTAGGAGAGAGGAATGGAATATGAGAAGAAGGAAAGAAGAGGAGGAGGTCCACCTTGATTACAGTGGTAATTGTATGTATTATGCTAACCAGAAACTCTTTATTGGACTAACTCCAGCTGCATTCAGAGGAAGACTCACTGCCAATCCTTCCGGGAAGTTTTGCAATGCAATCCCAATTGCAAGGTTCCTACGTATGCACTTAAAATCTCAAGGATTAGTAATCAAAGATCTCTACCTGGCACTTTCAAAAGTTGCTTTTGGCGACTTTCCAATGGCTCCAAACCCCACACCAACTGCCAAACCTTCTACAAAGAGACAGGGAGAGGTATTATATGCCCAGAGGTATATCTCGGCACTCACTCTTACCTGGTATGTTGTGAACTGTGATTGCAATGATCATTAACAGGATTCTCTTCCAACTTTGTCTTTTAAGACGAACTTCTTCCTCTTTCTCTATGTCTCTTTTTCCGCTTTCTAACTCTCTTTGCTCTATTTTATGCTTTTCATGTTGTATAAATCCTTTTTGTCTTTGTCTGATGTCGCTCGATGATGGTTGCTCCTTCTTTGAAGATTTTATCTTTTTCTCCTCAATCTCTTTAATGGACTCCAGGATATCATTACTGCTTGACTCTCCCTAGAAAGAAAAAGGAAAATGCACAGATTTGCATCAAAAAGTCACTCCATAATGTATCAATAATCCTAAACGAAGAAACAGGTGCAAATATCAAGGGACTATAATTATCTGTTCCAAATGCATTGTGTATTTTATAGGAAGCTGTACCAGGTGGCCAATTACATTTGATTGTTATTGTAACATTATTTATTTTAATTTACTCACAAGTTTGCTCATTAAAAGGTCAGCAAGATACACAAACAGACCACCAAGTGAAAATCCAACAGAAATATGAAGGAAAGTCCATTGTCCATACACATCCTCAGACATTTCAATGGCAGGAGCTAACAGTGACCAGTAACTAGCAGCCAGCATTACCTGATGACAGGAACAATAAGAAATCAAGAAATATTCATCATTAACTTACTCCAGCTGCAAAGCCAAGACTGAGATCAAGGATCTTTCTCTAGAAAATTAGAATAAGATGAGAACAAAGGAAATTTAAAATTAGAGACATTAAAGGCAACAAATTTCCTGCTACCTGTCCTCCTTTTATTACAAACACTAGAGCTGCTCCCGCTGCTGTTACTCCCCAAGTGAAAAGAGTTCCCAGCAATGCCTGCCATTGAGTATTCAAACCAGCTATCATCTTTGCCACAAATACCACACCTTCTGATTGGGTGGAGGCTATGGAGCTCTGTAGTATCCCTCTAGCTTTTATTACAAGAAACATTGTTCATTATTATAACTTTATTATAATTTCTACTACAAATCATAACTTGACAACAAAGACAAAAATTCTATCTACAATAATAGCAATAAAAATTACTAATAATATTCTTTATGTTGCTGCAGTCAATGATTTTTTTCTATTTTTTGCTTTGGTGTTGTTTTCAGAAGAAAACTCCCCAAGAGACGCTTCAAGCAGCACACCAGCTGCCCTTTGATTATACTTTCTAGTACTTGAGTAATATTCCTTCAAGGTCCTTGCTTCTCTTAAACTAGCCCCTTTAGCTGGTAGGAGGAAGTCTGTTTCATCCTTGTCCCTCTCCTCCTTTTCGTTTATCTTCATGAACCCAGAGAACCAGCCATTAGCAAGAACTGCCATCTCTGCAATGGAAGGAGGCAGTGGTAGGCCATTCTCTCTCATGGCACTAGCAATTTTCCCTGCTGTATAATAGTTACCAATTGATAGTGCACATTCGCATGGAGTTTGACCATTACAATCCTTTTCTTTGAGTAGAGCAGGCTCAAAACCCAACGATAAAATGTATTCGGTTACTTCAACAGAGTCTTTAGCATAAATGGCAAGGAGGTGGAGTAGATTGTACTCGTATTTTATAGTGCTTACTCCTAAAAGCATTTTATACTTGTGCATAACTTGGAGCATTTGTACATCACATTGAGAGAGAGCATCAGATATTGCTGCACCAAGACACTCCCCTACCTCCACAGTGTTATTTGAGTCAAAGAATCTCTGTAGTAAATATTGAAGGAGGTCCGGTGAGTGACTATGGACTCCTGCTCTAACTAAGTCTCCATATGACGCTATTGCTTTCATGATTGTACCAGCACTCTTCCCCCAGCAATGAATATAGCTATTAACAACTACCTGTATGTTGCATTCAACTGCATCTAGAAACAACGTGCTTTGGTTTTCATTGCCTCGGAAGCAAAAGAGATCCGGCCTTACGTATAGTGCTAAATCGGTTTCATCTTCATCTTGTTTTGATTTTTGAGAGATGACTTCTGAAGCTCTCATTACTTCTCTCCACCATCCTCTACCCAGTCCATGAATTAGAGTCTGGAATTTACTGCCATCCCTTGTGTGAGGATTATCAAATATAAGTAACCTGCTTATCTCTTTCATGCCTTGTACACTCTCTAGCCTTGGGAACCCTCTCAGGATAGACGCAAGGAGAGCATAATGGCCTCTTTGAACAGCAGATTCAAACGGAGTAACGTTACCGTGTTCCTCCATTTGGAGCAGATATACATTGGAATCCTCAATATTCATACCCTCTAGTACAGCACCTAAACCCCACCAGCAGCAAGAATCAACAATCCTAGGGAATCCACTCCATGACATCAGGCTATTAGTACTACTCCCTGACTGGAGGAGACTGCCAATTGCTAGAAAAGCAATCACAGTTTTGTCTCCTTTGACTGCTGCCTCAAGGACAGCCGTCCAAAACGATAGACTCTTGTCCTTTCCTTCAAAACCTGGTAGACATTGAGTGTAGTCTTGCTTGCTGGAGAGATAAATTATAATCTCATTGTGTCCGGCCTTTGCTCCTGCTGTAAGTATGGTGTTAAAGTTTTCAGCAAAGACTCTTTCTCTGAAATCAGCAAGAGAGTCAAGAGCAGGGAAGTTACCAAACCTTGCAGCAGTGAGTAGACCAGCCAGCACTACTTCATCAGGTAGAGACAAGCTAAAGAGCTTCTCTTTGAATTCAAGAAACATCTTAGACTTACAGAGAGCAACAGTCACTTGTTGAAGAGTGTTAACGTCAACCTTATCGTCTTGTTTTATTTTGTTATTCAATTCAATCATAATGTGTTGAACAACTTGTGTCTCACCATGCCTCACTGCAATACTTAGTATCTCTCCCCATTTGCAAGCGGTAACCTCGTCATTCACCAGTCGAGGGGAACGAGAGGGGATAGAGGAACAGACCACATCCCAATAAAAATATTTAGCAGCAAATTGAGGGTTAGAGGGAGACAGAGAGGAGACCAAATCCAAGACAAACTTTTGACATAGCTTAGGAGAAGGGTGGGACTGAAGGTGGCGGAGAGCACTAACAACGTAATCTGACAAGAGAATATTTTCATTTTTTAAAGACACACTCATCTCGTCATGCGTTACCCGTGACAAAATGGCTGCTGGGAAAATCTCTAGTAATTTAGCAAAATGTGACAAGTCGAGATGATGCAAGTTAACGAGTGCCAGTACATACTGGAGGGGCTGGACTAACTGGTTGCATTGATCAAGATCTGGCAAAACCAGACTGACGAGTTTCTCACAGTGAGCAGGATATAGAAACGTCTTACTTGACCAGTAATAGCCGGAAGAGAAGAGGCTAACGTTATTGTCTAGTTTCAAACAACTACACGTCCTGTAGCCATTCCTTTGAAAACCAATGGAGACATTATTAAAGTATGCCAGTACAGCCAGTAAAGGATGATAGAGGTCGTAATGAGCTGGATCTAATGTAGCCCCCTGCTCTAGCAGGAACTGGACAATCTCAACATGACCTCCACTAGCTGCGAAATATATAGGAGCGTAATTAGAATCCATTTTATTCGTAGCAAGCATTCTCCTTTCCTCCTCTCCCTCTTTCCCCTTGTCAGTTAACAAGAAGACCAGTTTGACCAGCTCTGTGTAGCCGCGTCCACAGATCTCATGGAGAAGAGGATCGTTAGTAGATACGGCAAGTAAAAAGGTCACAAGAGAATGGAAAAGGTCAAAACGGTCAAACGACCACTTACAATTAGGAGTAGCGTAACGTTCAACCACTGGCAAAAGCCTCTTCATATCATATTCTTTTTTATTTGATTGAACGAGTTTGACTAGATAGTTTAGAAGTTTCTCAAAAAGAAACACACCCAAATCCTTTCCTTCAGTGGAATGGAGGGACAAATAGAGACAGCGAGTTGATTTGTAAGATAAGATAAAACTATTCAAATAATTCTCTGGCATTTCATTGAGTAGCCTTAGAGCAAGCTTAAATCCCAACCCACCACTAGCAGAGAGATAGTGTATAGCTTGACACGTACGTATAAAGAAACAAGAATCAGACACATCTACATCAGTGACAATGTCATCTTCATCTTCTTCTAAGCTGTGGACTGAAGACACTTCACTTGATTCTTCAATGAGACGTGGGGGTAGTGCTGAGAACATGTCTGAAAGTGACACCTCATCCAGTATAACCTCGGCTTGTTTGTAATGTCTTCTCATTATAGCTTCAGTGACGGCAAACTTTTGTGGATTCCTATTAAACCAATTGAAATAAAGAGGAGTCGAGGAGGGGAGGGACTTGTTGCCTTTGGCGAGGAGGAGTTTTAGGAACTTTGTATCAACTCCATTGATGGCAGCAGTGAATATAAGAGAACAAAAACGATTGGAAAATATGGGGAAAAATACAGCAATGTCTTCACTATAAAAAAAGAGAGAGAAATGAAAATGCGTCCCTCTTAGTAGATTAACATTCATTGCTTACCTTTCCAATATTGCTGAGGCGAGTCTCATGGCTTCATTTAATTTGCTAAGTTGATTGTGTTCTGTAACAGAAAACAGACAAAAGAAACAAGTAATATGTAGCAACAGCAACAAAAATAAAAATAATACAACTACAGTACATATCAATAAATGCACATACAAGTGAACTAACTTATTGATGGAACGAAATTGCTGGCTTTTTTGGTAATGAGCAGCTCAGGCCTGAATAATTCATAAAATAAAAATAATATTATCAGTGTATTTGGCAGCTTACCATTTTTCTAGAGGAGTTTTTCCTTCTACGACCTTTGATGAAAGTTTAACTAAAAAAGAATAAAAAGAAATTTAATTAATGCTCTGTTGGGACTACAAAATGACAAATCTACTCCCAAAAGTGTAATAAAGATGAATTCACTAACAAGATAGTACATGTTATTGTTTAGTAAAAATTTAATTTCATACATCCTTCTCCCTCCTCCATCTCTCTCTCTCTCTCTCACTCTGTCTTACTAATCAGTAAATGAAGTAAGCCCCATCCAATCGATACACCAGGTAGAGGGTATTCCTTTTCTAATGCTTGCAGTATTTCACTCTCCAGCTTGTGATCAGCAGACATAAGACCCTCGGTCAGTGGCTTTGAGAGCAGGGTAGCACCAGATACACCAGTCACGTCTTTTGTTTCAAGAAAAAGAGAGAAACCGTTTCCTTTTCTCATTTCTTTAATGAGGTACATCAAACCAGGGATATTACCAGCAGAGAGCATCGCGTGAATAGGAGAAGACTTTCTCTTTGTAATGGAAGAACAAGACATAAATGGCTTTCTTTTCTTCCTGCTCTTTCTCTTCTCTTCTGAATTAAATATATGATGATCAACAAACTGGCAGTGACCAGACGAGGCTAAGAATTCACGATGCTTCTTGAATTTTTCTTGAGCTGATTTAGGCGATAAGATATCTTTGAGAAAGAGAGTTGGAGGTGAAGGCAATTCTGTTAATACTTTCAAGCAAGACCACTCTGGCTCTTTCTTATCTCCATCTCTATGAGGAGAGGTGATGGGTATATTGATCCAATTGCCCAATGATTTGGCCCATTGCTGTGGACAAAACAAGTGGACAATATCCTTAATGATTGACAGGTCATCGAGTGAAGCTGCTAATGAGAGGAGATTCATCCAGTCACCATTAAACACTTCTCTCTTAGTGGATGAGAGGATCACACGTGCAACTTCAATTCGCCCACGTAATAGACTCAGTTCCAACGGAGTAGAGCCAGTATTAGTAACAGGATAAAGATCAAGACTCTCTCCTTTTTCATCTCCTGATTCAAGTAAAGCTTCAATGACTTGTTTGTGGCCATTAGCTGCTGCGTAATGCAAAGGAGTCCAGCCAGAATTATCAGAGAGAGAAGGATTGGCTCCTTTACTAAGCAATTGCTTACAGATGGAATGATGGCCTAGCTTTGATGCTAGAATAAGTGGAGACTGCTGACAAAAGTCAAAGACATTGACATCAGCACCTCCCTCCATTGCATGCTCTACCATTTCATCGTTCCCAACAGCAACAGCATCATGAAGACAATAATCAGCCTCCACCTTAGAGAGACAAGGAGTCAATAAATGATGAGAGAGAGGGAGAGAGGAGGAAGAACGAGCATAAAACAAAGCCCCACTGATATTGTATCCTTTATGATCGACTACGCATTCAGCAGATGCTAATAGATCCCTGTACGATTGGACCAACGCTGAAACAAGGTCCCAGTGATCATTGTATATTGCTACATGTGTACATGTCCTCCCAAGTGAGTCCTGACACAATAGAAGGGACTCTGGGTCAATCGATTCCCTTAGCAACAGGTCGACAATGGCCGTGTTACCATGGTGGCAGGCGTAATGAAGTGGAGTAGAGAGGTCAGTACGAGATGCTAGATTTGGTTTGGCACCGTGTTCTAATAGTAGCTTACCCACGTCTAATAGTAGGGGACGTTCCTCTGTCGTGTACATTGAGAGATAGTGAAGTGGCGTCAGACCCATGCTGTCCCTGTAGTTTGATATCTTGTCATTCTTACTCAAGATGGATTCTAATAGTTTGATATCTCCTTCTTTAATGGCTTGTCTCAGAGGGCCTGAGAGTACAGGTAATGGAAGGTGAGAGAGGGAAGGAGAAGAGGAGAGATACAATGACAGCTCGAACAGCTCCTCTAGACCAAATACATTTCCACCTTTCAATCCATCTTTAGAGAGACTACTCAATGACGCTCCGTGTTCTAAAAGCAGGGAGACACACTCAAAGTTACCAGAATCTACTGTAGTCGCCTCAGTAGCAGTAGATTCAGTCTCCTGACGCCTGATTATTAAATTTACTGCTAATTGAAGTGAGGAGTCGAGTGGAGAAGAAACACAAACACCTTCATTTTTATTCTTGCTTTCTTCTTCTGGATTGGGCAGGGAAGATTGTAATAGAAGGGAGCGTAGTTTATCAGGCTGATTATTAGCTACAGCCTCTCTTATGTGAGATAACAGAGACATTAGAAGAGACGGATAGAAAGACTCGGCTAGAGACCTCGAGAGCGAGCTAGAGAGTAACGAGCCACACCCTCTATTATTTATCACATTCCAAACATTCCAATGGGTTCACATCACTACCTATTAATTTTTAAAAAATAATCTTTACACACAATCATCAATTTCATCATAATCTTGTGCTATCACTTGATTCAATTCTTCATAATCTACTGCATTACATTCATTTCCAACATTGGTGGCATATGCTGGATTATCCTGTATTGTCACAGCAATAGGATTAGTAGCAATGTACGCTGGATTGTCTTCCATGTCTGATGAATCAATAATAATATGTCCTTTTTTCTTGATGCAAACAGCAACAGACAGCACTATTATTACTAAAGAGGCAAGAATAATGCATACTACAATGCCTACAATTATGTATACTGCAACTGGTGTTGTGTTTGCAGTAGTAGATGATGTGGAAGTACTGACTACAGATGATGAGAGAGAAGATGGTTCCATGATGCTGAGGATAGCAGTTGATAGCATGGAATGTGAGCTAACAGATATCACAATAGAGACAGCAGAATTCACAGTAGAGACAACAGATGCACTGCTAGAAGTAGTGGATTTAGTGGAAGTTGCAATAGATGATGAACTGCCAGGAGAAGTCATCCCACTAATGGCAGTACTACTAGATCTATTTACAGTAGTAGCAATAACTGAGGAGTCACTGGGAGCAGTAGTAATGATCACTGTTGAACTAACTGGAGTGGTATAAAATGAACTGCTAGAATAAGTAGATGACAAAAGTGATGGAATGGCAGTTACCAGTATAGATAAAGCATTACTGAGAGTGATGGACACCACTGTAGATGATATCATGGTAGAGGTTGTTATTACAGAAGTTGTACTAATGACTGGGCTGGTACTTGATGATGAAACCACACTAGTAGATGCCAGTGAAACTATAAACATGTAATCATAATAAATATAAAATTATTATCAATAACTTACTTGATACTTCTACAGTGACTAATGGGAAATCATTATTTGAGTCTGTTACAAGTGCTTGAGTTATTGTTGAATAAGGATTGTCAGCATCACCATTGACTCGCTCATTAAGAGGTCCATTCCCTCTCTGCTCATATAAAGAAAACACACTTTGGCCTGTTTGTGGAATATGAACACCAAATATGTCTCCTTCCTGGAACTGCAGTGGAGTCTGAGGAATAAACTCATAGAGATTAGTACCAATCATTGTATTAGCATTAACTAAACTAGATCCTATTTTGTTGTAATTATTGGGACCCAGTTGACGCCATATTTGGAGCTCAGGTGAATTATTGTTCATGTTATTGTGATTCATCCCTCCATATATCCATTTAGTGAGGGATCCATTACATGAGAACACAATTTCAGGATATAGATACTGCCTTCTATCATTAATAGCTCCACTCCTTTGGACTGTTAGGAAATAATTTCTAATAGCCATAGCATTGATTGAATTGGCACTATTAACACAGTGTCCATCTAATGATAGTAAAATAATTCAATGATACAGTGAGTGTGTGTCTTACCTGTTACTGGATATACTAATATCAACTCATTTGTAATGGGAGTATCACCTAAATCAATTTCATCTGAATCAATTGATATTTCCTTGCTGCTACTAAAACTGATTCCAGATACACCTTCAATGTAATAGATTCTGACAACACTCTCTTCCTCACGAGGTTGTACAATTGCTACAACTTCTCCACTCATTACTGGTATAGGAGGATTGAGTGGATATTCAAACACTCCACTAGTACTGACATTAGAGGTAGAATAATAAATAGTTCTCTCACTACCAGTCACTAGATCATACTTCCCAGGATCATTGCTATTAGGTCTATAAACTCTAACACTTGGAAATAAATTAATACTACCAGTAGCTCTCCTCACATCAATACCCAATATAAGACTGGTTACATTAGTGGATGAACAATTGAACTGATACTCTTGAAGAGCTCTTAGTTTATCATCCCATGTCCTTCCAGGGGCACTAGCTGATGTGTATTGTGCTCTGTATGTTACTTGTGACAACTCCATAAACTTCTCTGTACATCCCTGGTCTCCATACACAAAACCTATTAATTTGAAAACTTTAATTATCATTATACAAAGTCATACCCTTTGAAAGTACTAATAATATTAGATAAAAAAGATTTTCAACTGCCAGCAACTTCATCCTTCTTCTTTCCTTTTTTAAGAGTGAGGGGAAGTAACACTAATAGCAGGGCTATAATAACAACACCTTTTTCATTGCATGACACAAGGTGGTATAGGCTGTGTTCATATGAAATTACTGCTAATAACTCATACTAATAAAAAACATTATTAAAATATATTTTTAATTCTATATATAGTCATTATCTATGTCACCATCTTGACAATTAGAATTCGGTGATTCAAAGTTTGGTGCTTCAACTACTTCATATACTCCTGTAGATCTATTATTATTATTGTTGGACACAATATCAGTGCTGGCATATGCTAGGTTATCTTGTATTATCACAGCAGTGGCATTACCACTATTAGTAAGAGCGCTAGCAGTACCATATGCTGGGTTATCATTCATATTAGAAATAGTGAAATCATTGCTATCATTATCTTCTGTGGCTGTATTAGAGTTATCGCTTCCTTTCCCAGCAGGCATAAATTTTAGCGATAAACTAACATCTGCTTCAATAACAACATTTTCTTTTTTATTGGATCTTTTCTTGATGCAAACAGCAACAGACAGCACTATTATTACTAAAGAGGCAAGAATGATACATACTACAATGCCTACAATTATGTATACTGCAACTGGTGTTGTGTTTGCAGTAGTAGATGATGTGGATGTACTGACTACAGATGATGGGAGAGAAGATGGTTCTATGCTGCTGAGGATAGCAGTTGATAGTGTTGCATATGAGCTAGCAGATATCACAGTAATAGTAGTAGTAGTAGGAGTAGTTGTTGACATAATAGGTGGCATTGTAGACACTATTGAGTAATTAAAATTAACATGAGACAATATTAAAATTATTTATTACCTGAAACTTCAACTGAAACTAGTGGAAAATTATTTGCAAAAGTAGATAATGCTTGACTTATTGATGATAGAGGAACATTTGAGCTGTACCTTAGGTTGACTGGTCCATTACCATCCTGTTCATAGATACTCAATTGACTTTCAGATCTTTCTGGAAAATAGAAACCAAATATGTCTCCTTCCTGGAGCTGCAATGGATTCTGAGGAATAAATTCATAGAGATTAGTACCAATCATTGCACTAGCGTTAACTAAACTAGATCCTGTTTTATTGTAATTATTGGGACCCAGTTGACGCCATATTTGGAGCTCAGGTAGTCTATTAGGAGGATTGTTACCATGATCAATACCTCCATAGATCCATTTAGTAAGTGAACCATTACAAGAGAACACTATATCTGGATACAAGTATTGTCTGTTATCACTTGGCCGATCAGAGTCATGTATTTTAAAAGCATTTTCTTTAATAATTGAAGCATTGATTGAATTGACACTATTAACACAGTATCCATCTAATGATAGTAAAATAATTCAATGATACAGTGAGTGTGTGTCTTACCTGTTACTGGATATACTAATATCAACTGATTTGTGATTGAAGAACCATTTGAATTAACATTTTCTGTGCTAAGTGAATGCCGACTGCTACGAAAGGTGACCCCTGGAAGAGTATAATAGATTCTAACAACACTGCTCGCTTGAGGTGGTTGTGATACAGCTAACAGGTCTCCATTCATTACTGGTATAGGAGGATTGAGTGGATATTCAAACACTCCACTAGTACTGACATTAGAGGGAGAATAATAAATAGTTCTCTCACTACCAGTCACTAGACTACCGTCAGTTGAATAAACCTGGACACTGGGAAACATAGTATAGCCAGATCTTACATCAATACCCAATATAAGACTGGTTATATTAGTAGATGAACAATTGAACTGATACTCTTGAAGGACTCTGAGCTCATTGTCCAAGTCATTACCAACTGCATTATTTGAAATGCGTTCTGCTCTATATGTCACTAAAGATAGATCCATAAACTTTCTTGCACATTGTTGTTGACTTTGCACAGTACCTTTTAAAATGAATTAACATTAGAAATTAAAACTACAGAGAACATTTTTACTTGATAGAAACCAGCCAAGGCTTATTAGTAATAAAAGTAGATCAGCTAACAGAAGTTTCATCTTTTCTTTGTCTCTAGTCTTACAGACAATATAATAAAAACAGTGAGAGTGATAGAATCTACAACCTACTCTGACACTAAAGGATTAACTGCATGACACATTCTGCAATGCAAACTGCAAAGCTGCAGCAATTTAATTAATTGGGTGTGGTCCATTAATTTCAGATTAGACACACCCATTGTTCAACGTGGAGTCCGCCAAAAGAAGGATCAATGGAACAATCGGTAAGTTTCTTAGACTATTGGCCTTCTTGTGAATATATCTAGCATCCAAACTGATTGTAAACTTATTGGATATTTTTAGGAACTAAATACTATCCTGCAAAAATGGCTTGAAGGACTTCAACAAGTCTCACAGCAGCAGCAAGAAAAACCTTCCAATAAGTACCCGCCACATTTCTCTGTATTTTAAGCCCTAATTGTCTTTTTTCTATTAATTAGGCCAGAAAATGACCCACTCCTAGCTGAAGGGTAATTACTAATTATTATATATTATTATTATGTGTACTTTTTTCTAATTAAAGGGATCAAGAATTATCAAATGTCTTAGACAAATTAGGGGCGTGCCTCAAAATAACGGGACCGTACGTTATAATTTTTTAATTTAAAAAATTAAAATATTTTGTAGTTTAAAAACCTCGTTGCACTCGGGAGGGACTCACCTCTCAGTCCTAGCCCGTTCCTTGTCCTGTTATCTCTCAGTGGCTCTAGACCAAAGGGACATTGATGGACTTGCTGGATATGTCCATGTACATGTAGCAAATATAATGATCGGATTAATAGGGTAGGTAATGATAATGATTGTATTAATAGAGCAGGTAATAGAATGATTTGGTAGATAATTGTATATAATATCTATCTGTATATATATTGAGGAGATGGAGTTGTCTAAGATTTTTTTTGTAAAAAATAATTTGGGAAGGCTGTAATTTTAATAAGGGCTAAGGCTACACACAGTATGCAATTTAAGGTACCTTATGATAGAAGTAATAATTTCTCTTTTTAGATTAGACATTAATAAACCATTGGCCTCGATTTATCACGATGACGTCAGAGATGGTTACTTAAGAGGTACAGTGTTACATATACAACTATAAGTAACTGGTTTCTATTCTATTGTAGCGATTCAGATGGCTTTGTATAGGAAGTATGATAAAATGGGGACCGATGGTCTACTAGCAGCTGCCACAAAGTAAATTATAAATTGCAGACACTTGTATGCATGCACTAAAGTATGTCATCATTTTCTTTTTGTTTTTCATAGGCCTCCTGTAATATATCTGAGTGCCAGAGGTGAAATAGAGCCATTATACTCTTCGTGTGTGAGGGTAAGGCTGGGACTAATTGTTTGAGTTTGTTTTTGATTTCACTTTAGGCTGGCTTGCCTCAGTCCTCTCTCTCTATAAGTAAGTAAATCTGAAAGTAAACTTTGCTTTTATTTCACTTTCCCTTCCAGTTCCCTGTTCTACAGTTCATGGCTCTACTCATTCATTAGTAAGTGATAATCATCACTCTCATCATGTATATCTTCTTCTCTAGGACACCAATGCTTTAGAGAAGAAGATTAATGAAGACAATAATGTTGGAAAGACACCATTAATGGTTGTTGCTTATGCAGGTATTGTGTGTGTGTGTGTGTGCTGATTTATTGTGTCTATTATTACAAGGAACACCTCTTGCTGGTCATATTGATGATTTGGTGACATTAAGAGGAATTTGTGATCAATATAACATGTGGCTACATGTAACAGGGTGAGCTGAGAGAGAGAGAGAGAAGGTTCAGTATCTTTTAATATTTTGTACTTGTAGTCATGGGCTCTCCTCACTATGTCTTCCAGAAGAGAGAGATGAAATAAAAGTACCATAAAATGTCATACTTTCTTTAATTGTATTGTGTGCATGATTAGGGATTCAGTGATGCTGATAGCTTCACACTGTTCCCTGGGACGTGGTTTGGGATTCTTAGCTCTCCAAAGATTGTATCCTCTTTATTATATATATATATAGTACCCAAGTAGCTCTATTGATGTACTTGTACACGCATGCAAAGTATTGGTAGTATTGTATGTGTGTGTTGGCACAATAGTATATAGAGAAGTTATCTTAACTCTATTTGACAGACGTTTCATAAACACCCCAAAGTTATAACTACCAGTGGAGTTGTGAGTCATTGCTTGTAATTAAACTATCCTCACTAACCTCCCCCCTCTCTCTCTCCTCCCTCTCTCTCTCAGCCTACTCCTGCTAACTTTCCAGGAGAGAATCCCGATCTCTCTTCAAAGGATTTTGCAATCCCTCAGTCCTCATGGCTAGGTCTTTATCCCCGTGGTCTTTCAAAGCTACTGGCGCTACCACTCTGGCTCTGCATGCAGTATCTTGGTAAGGAAGAGAAGGAGAAAATAGAAGTAGACTAGCTATAAGGAGGATAGAGCTGAAATGAATACCGTATAGCGGAAAATTTTGGAGGGACTAAATATTGGCGAATTGCTAAATTTTGGTGATTGGCAGATTTTAATTTGGCGAATTGGTGGCCACGTGCATTGAGCATGCGTATAATGGCTCAAAATGGCGGGTTTAATTTTGGCGAATGGCTATCAAAACGCCAAATTCGCCAAATTTAATTCCCTCCAAAATTTCCTGCTATACGGTAGTATTTTTCACTATTTGAATAGTTGGCATGCTAAACGAACGAATATTTGAATATCTCACTATTCGTTTCAGCCTTATAAGGAGATGTAGTCTTGTGCCCTTTAGTTAAAGCTTATTATGTCTGTTTGCTCTCAATTACTCATGCACATTGAGACAGGCTCTATTGTTTATGTTAATTCTCATTAGGTGAGTCTGCACTGGTCGATACTGTCAGCTACTGTAGAGGACTGGTATGCCAATAGTCAGCATTCTTATCATTCCATTCAATCCTTTAGACTAAGAACATGATGAAGAGATTAGATGAGATACCTGGCATTACAAGACTAGTACGTCATGATCGTTAATGAATTATTATAGTCTCACACTAATTAGGCTATTCCAAGTCATACCTCTTATGTCATCTTGTTTAAATATTCCGGCAGTGGGCAGTTAGTTCTCCCTCCATCTTTTAAGAGTTTTATTAATCCAGTGCCACACCCACAAGAGCAGAAAGACAGCTCCTCAGATCAGGTTAGCTTCTGTTTTAAATTAAATCAAATTAGATTTTTAATGAATTTTGGAAGTTGTTTGAAAATTGCACCAAAGACCATGTACTAGTACTATAGTACACTGTCTCTGGCCAAATTTTGCCAAAAATGAAAAGGAGAGAATTCTCCACTTTTATAATTTTTTCTGGTGCATATTTATGTACTTATGTTGTGTAGAAAGTGTAAGCCAATTCCGATTGAAATTGGATTTTTTATGAATTTTTAAAGTTACTCAAAAATTGGGCCAAAGTCCCTGTACTATTATAGTACAGGGATTTTTGCCAAATTTCGCCAAAAATGAAAAGGTGAAAATTCTCCACTTTAATAATTTTTCCTGATGCATATACATGTACTTATGTTGCGTAGAAAGTTTGAGCTGATTCCGATCAAAAATGAATTTTTTATGAATTTTAAAAGTTACTCAAAAATTGGGCCAAAAGTCCCTGTACTATAGTACGGGGATTTTTGCCAAATTTCACCAAAAATGAAAAGGTGAAAATTTTCCACTTTAATAATTTTTCCTGATGCATATACATGTACTTATGTTGCATAGAAAGTTTGAGCTGATTCCAATCAAAATTGGATTTTTTATGAATTTTTTAATTTGCTCAAAAATCGGGCCAAATTAAGACCTCCTCTTATAACAAATCAAAGAATACTTTGAAGACCTTTTATTTTAGACCCTTTAATGTACTGCAGTATAGCTGATTTTCTGCACGTTTTTCAAACAGCCATTTATAATTTCTAGGAGTCTGGTTCCAGCGAAAAAGGAGACAAAGAAGGCAGTGATACCCAGCCACCAGAAGATGACGAGGGCCCCCTTGTAGTCACTATACACGGAATGCCACTAGTACTCACTAACCTATATAACGTCATGGTGGGTCTAATTGCAAGGCTCACAAATGTTTATTATTTATTTATTTATTTATTATTTATTGTGTTTACATTTAGATATCAAAGGATCTTCAAGCATTGTTTCCAAAGGTTGGCATAGTAACGTATGACATGGGCGGGAAGGATGGGATTGTGTTTCACTTTGATCCAATTACATCGTTTCCTGGTTAGTGGGTCTGGGGGTTTAATCGCTTGTATGGCTGGCAATTTTTGAGGTTAATCAAACAAATTTAATTTTCAAGCAACTTACAGCAAGAGTACATGGTTTATGCATTCTTGCTTGTAGTAATTAATAGCAAGGATAATGATAGATTTTTAATAATTATATTATTATAGTGACAATTAGTTTTCTAAATGTACACAATGACTTTTTGTGGTTTTTTTGTATAAATATTTTGTCTATTTTCAGAGTATAGTACATCAATTGAAGACATTGAGAAATTTGCTGAAGAATTGAAACAGAAAATAGTATGTTGTATTAATCCAAACATCGATTGGTTAGTGTTGTGTTTGTCCCTAGGATACCATATATCCCATTACTCAAGCAAGGTGTCTCTTTGAAGTTGTACTAAGACGACAGAGCAATCTGAGATGGTTGGAGTTTCCTAACATTCACTGTGTGGCCATTATGCAGTTTAGTATAATTTCTTACATCTTATCACACACTTACCCTCTCTATTCTCTCCTCTCTCTCTGTCTCTCCCAGATATGTTAAGTCAGATTTTATAGAAAAGCAAGAGTTGACTTTTGAAGAGGTGAACATGTTGAACAAACTTAACATTGAGCTGTGTCAACATTTAAATAATGAGAGTGGAGTATCAGTCTTCCAACCTTTCCAACACGGAAACTTCACATGTGTATTACTAAGAGAGGTTAGAGAGAGAGAGGAGCATTTCATTATTATCTTCATTGATTGTAGCTCCCTAAAGAGGTAGACATGTTTGCATTGTTGGAGAATGTTATAACAGGAACAAAGAATTTCGAAAAACAGAAAGAAGTAAAGTTAATAATAGCTTTCAGTCCATAATCTCCTTATTACACAAACACACACACACACAGGAGCTGCAGGGATTAGAGGAAAAGATAAGACAAGGCATAATAGCAGCTCAAGAAGACTTGAGCAAAGAGAAAGAAAAGTTTGAAGAGGAAGAAGTATATGTATTTTTCTTATTAATGATCATTTATCCACTTCCCCTAGTCTGTACTTAAATATGTTCCACTGGTTGGGTCAGTGGTGAGCTGGCTCTATCCAACGTCACCAGGCGGAGTCAAGGGACGCTCTTTTAATCTTGCATCAGGTACAAGTTACATACTTTTGCTATTAAGTGCCCTGTATTGGTTGTGTAGGTAAAGTGCAGACCTCAGAAAAGGTTTATCAGCATAAGATGCAAGTAGTGGACGAAAAGGAAGAGAAAGGAGAGGAGGAGGGAGGAAATGATGACGAGGCACCTCCTTCAAAAGAAACGACACCTGTGAAACCTGTCACTCCGCCTAAGGAAGTAACCCCTACGCCTGTCCCTACAGAAGCATGAGTACATGGAACGTGTGTGGGTCAAAATTGGCGCTGTCTTTTTTTTTGAATTGTGTGTGTAAAACAATTAAATTTATGCAGGTACTCAGAAAAAAATTTTTAAGTTTTAGATCTGTCACGTATTGAGGGGTCTTTGTCAAAAGCCTTTTCCCAGTTGCTGCCATCAAACGAGGTTACACTGACTGTCTGAGCTGTTCCCTCGTCCAAGCAATGTGGTGCTATGCCACGTCCATCAGGGTTTGATCTAGGAGTGTAGAAACTCTGGACTCCACAGATTCTACAGAACGTGTGTTTGGCTCGATGAGTATTAAATGTGTAGCATGTAAGGAATTCCTCTCCCTAAAGATGATGAAAGAGATTTAAAATAGCAACCCCATGTGTGGTGTACCTTTAACAGTGTGAAGTCAGCTTGTGGTACAATGAAGTGGTGGTTTTGTTTCTTGATGCATATACTACAACTGAAAAGAAATAGTTTCTTGTTGCAACATAAAATGGATCTAATTTAAAATTCCCTTTTTAATCAATCAATGCATGTAAAATTCATCTTTATTTAATATGAAATGAGGTACTGGGTGCTTTTAGATTTACTTGCAATGGATAACGTCCAGTTGTGCAGGAGCAAAGACCTGAAACCTAACTGCCCCGCAGTGACATCCACCGCTATGCAACACCTTTCCTTCGGCAGCCATTTGCAAGCATAGACTCATTCCATTATTCTCATTCTCGGGACGGTATGGGAATGAGACTACAGGTTCTCTCTGTTGGAGATGGGCGTGACCAAGTCTAACTAATTCTGGCTGGGTTTGCATGTTGTAGTGTTGTTTATTGGAAAGTTAGTGAGAGTACTGGCTCAAGAAGAAAGGAGGAGATAGTATGAGTAATGCTATAGCACAGACTACCTCACATTGCAGTAATGGGCTACTGTATGCAAGCTGGAACCAGGACCAAGGTAATTGATTCTTCATTGCAGTGCTGTTCACTCACCTCTCCCTCTCTGTTCAAAGGCTGTTTTGCTTGTGGGATGGAGAATGGTTTTAGGATATACAACACTGATCCACTGAAAGAGAAGGAGAGACAAGGTCTGTCTGTTGTGTTTATACATAAGTAACTTCACCTTTTTCTTTCTCCTTTTCTTTGTTAGATTTCGTTGATGGTGGGTTTGGTCATGTGGAGATGTTGTATCGTTGCAATTACTTGGCACTAGTCGGTGGTGGACCTCGTCCTAAATACCCACCTAACAAAGGTTTGTTTTTTTAATTGAAAATATTATCATCACTCAATCTTCTTCCAGTCATCATATGGGATGATCTGAAGAAATCACAAGTAGCAGAGCTTGAGTTCTCATCAGACGTTCGATCAGTCAAATTGAGCCGAGACTTGTGAGGAATGCAATCGCTGAGTTATAATAGTATTTTCCTCTTCTTCCTTTAGGATTGTTGTCATACTTGACGACAGAATTAGTATATTTTCGTTTTCAAAGAATCCAGCCGAACAGCACAGAATACAAACCACACCCAATCCTTATGGCGTCTGTGTCCTTTGTCCCAACAATAATAATTCTCTTTTAGCTTTCCCCGGGACTGAGATCGGTCACGTGAGTCTCGTTGATTTAGCAAACATGAGACGGGCCCCAGTTGACATCCCAGCACATGAAGCAGCTGTTACGTGTCTAGCTTTTAATCTACAAGGATCAAGATTAGCTACAGCGTCAGAAAAAGTAAAAGAAATTTTTTTTGTTATGTGTCTTTCATTCCTACCCTTGGCTTGACAATGGTTTCTTAACTTTCTATTCTTAGTTTAATTTAATTTTTGATGTAAGGGACTAGATACTTCACATAATTAAAACCACCAGGAATGTCTCATAGTGTCATAATTATGCAATTTGATAAAATAATGGTCATATCTGATAAAATTATTAACTACATTAACTGTAGTTGAGAGATAGAATGGAATGGCTTGATACCAAATATATCCATTGCTAGGGTACTTTAATTAGAGTTTATGATACTAATAAACACGACCAGCTACTTGAATTGAGAAGAGGAGCTGCTAATGCACACATATACTGGTAAGCTATATGGTACATGTATGTCCCTCATCTCTTCTTTATGTATCATAACAGCATAGCATTTAATCATGATTCTTCATTCATGTGTGTATCAAGTGATCACGGTACTGTGCATGTATTTGCTAGTGAGGACCCAGCAAGGAACAAGCAATCCAAGTGAGTAAGGATCTTTATTATATACACAAGGGAGCTGCTAATTAAGCTGTATTATTATTATGTCAATTTAGCTTGCATGAACTGTGTGATGACATAATGACAGTTAGTAGTATTAGAGCCAACCCTTTCTCTCCACTACTGACCTCCCCCTTCCTCTATTATGCTTCTACAAAAGATGCTTGCCTTTAATGGTAGTGGTGTAGTTTTGCTATGCCAAACATTCTTAACAGAATAGCTATAATAACATTAAAGATAATAATCAGCTACTACTATTATCATGAGCAACCTCCCCCCATTCATATATGTTGTTAATCTGTTTCTCTCCTCTCTCTCTTCTCTTCCTTCCTCCTTCTCTCTCTCTTCCTCCTTCTCTCTCTTTTAAACTCAGAATGGCAAAGGCTGGCGGTTTGTTACCTAAGTACTTCAGTTCAAGATGGAGTTTTGCGAAATTCAATGTCCCAGATGGGCAGCCTTGCATATGTGCTTTCGGAAGTGATAAGAAATCCATAATAGGTTGCACTAGTCATACAAATGGCAGCATTATTATTATCATTGTTTTTTTGTAGCTATATGTGCAGATGGGAGTTATTTCAAATACTCTATCACTTCTAAAGGCGAATGTCTACGTGAAACGTTCTCAAAGTTTCTCCAGATGACAGACGACTAGTTTTATTATTTTATTTTATTTTGTTATGATAATTATTTTTATAACGTTTGTACTCTTTTTTTCTTTTCTATTTTTCCATTCTTGCTCCCTTTCCTTCCTTCTCACTGCTTCTTTCCACTACTCTATAGTTTTATATTTTTTTTGCGTCAGGCTTCATTATTTTATTATGCAGTACTGCGCTGCTAAGCCAACCAATCATGAGATTCACTTTGTGCGTGGGTTGCTTCCTGCTTATCCGTCATCTGATTGGTCAGAAAACACGTGCTTGGTCTGACACTGGCTATGAATACGATTAATTGATTAAGAAGGGATGATCCACTTCTCTGTATAGAAATGTATGTGTGTATTAATGTGTGATGGTGAGTGTTCGAATGTCATTGTAATACTCCATTTTTCAGTGCATTTCTTCTTCGTTTTTAGTGATAGCCTTTCATTTCTTACAGTAATCACTCCAATAAGTTCATCAGTTGAGACGGATCAAGACTCCCAAGGCGTTACAGTGCTGTTTACGCGAACACCCTTCTTTACTTCACCTTGGTGACTGCTTCTTTGCATTTTCACTCTGAAGGTCAGTTTGGGGGTTTGTACATTGTTTCAGGGGGCAGCCTGCGCTTTTAAATACTGGGTTCTAACGTCTAAACTTTAAATACAGTTCTCTGTAGTTCAAAATAATGATGTTGGTACTTTATATATCATTATTGAAATGCTAAGTCAATCAATTAAGGTTTTGATTGGACTGCCTGATAATAAGTGGACTCTACTTTTGAGATCTCTTGTCCTCCTGTCTTGCTATTCATGACTATCCCATTCTAAGCCTTGTTTAATAGATACCACTATTGTATTATAACAGTATAGTTTTAGATATTATGTACGTGTTCTTTTTTGTACACACTGTATTAATTAATCTGTTTACAAAATGATGGTATGTTTTTATTAGCCTTTCTCCCTGTCTCTCTCTCTCTTTCTCTAAATAAAGAGATTGAGTGATAAAACTGTACTTACTCTTGATATAAAACCAGCTTGCTCTTTCTTTCTTAATTGTACATATACATTCATGTTGTATGCCCATTTATGTACATGTGTTCGGGTGTAGTTTGAAATTCTCTCGTAGGCAATAAGATCTTTAAAGGCCCATTTAAAAAAGACTAATTTCGAAAATCTTATGTAATCACTGCTAATATTTATGAGAATGCCACATACATGTACATATAGTCTATAATCAGGCCATAGCCCACCCTCTCTGTGCTAACAGTTTTATTGATATTCATGTAGTGATTACAGAGAATTATAATAATCTTAATGTCTAAATTGTCTATTGATATACTTATAATAGCAAACTGTTATAGTTTTGTACTTTTGGTTGGATACTATTAGCTGTGTATCTACAGTCCACATATATTCCTCTTGTGAGTATAGCTATTGTTCAATGGATGAGTAGAAATAGTTCATTCTTATGATCCCAAATATGCCAAAGGGTAGTCATTCCTGACAAACCATGATGTATATTGTAGGGGAGGTATCAATATGAGGTTCATACTCCACTTCCTGTGTGTACTTATAATGTTACTATAGTGTCTATCATTGGTCATCTAGTGTCCAGCATTACTGTGATTCTCATCATTATTCAGCTGATTTTTACTTCATTTTGATTTGATTCTTTTTTTTGTTATTTTGTGTAGAGTTTTCTGTTTTATAATGCCAAGGACTAGGTCCTCTCCTAGAAACGTTCCCAAACTGGTACCAAAGGCCACAGCCTCTTCTGTGACCCCTCCCATGACGCCAACAGAGGAAGAGGCTCTGGGTAAACTTAAAGTCCCGCCCACAAAGAAGAGAAAGTCAAACCAACGTCCGGTGGGTAAGAAGGACGCTCAGGGAGATAACGAAGACCCTGCAACCGGTGGTGGGAGTGACCTTGGATCATGTGACACGTCTTTTGATGCGTATCCAGATGAAGATACTAAGACCAATAGTTCAGCCTCCTCGTTGATAGAGGGTCAAGGTACCTCGTATTCGTCTCAACCTGTCGGTCAGCAGCTGTTGGAGCAGCTGGAGAAAGGGAAGAGAAGGAAGTCTGGTGGAAAGACAGGGAGTAAGAAACCGGCCAAAGCTTGTGCTCGGTGTGGCAGCACTGAAGGACGACTCTTGGGAGGCAGAGCAAGGAAGTGTACCATATGCAGGCTCATAAAGTTCCCCCCTCAGCCGGACTCCTCCTCCTCTCCTGTGCTTCAAAAGACAAAACCAAGCAAGGACTCTGTGACCAGTTTCCACGATGACTCGGAGGACGAGGGTCCTAAGAAAGACGATAAATCGTCCCCTCCTCTCCTGGTATCTGTAGGGTATGGAGGAATACCCAGTGTCAAGAATAATATTTATGAGACCATCCCTCCCAAGTCTCCCTCTGAATTAACTAAAATTCTAAAAAGGAAGCTCCTAAGCTCTGACGATGGAGCAGCACCCACTCCTAAAAAATCCTTTTCTGAGTCAGCTGCAAGTGATAACTCTTTGCTAGCGACTCCTCCGTTGCAAGGAGGAGGAGGTGGTGGTGGTGGTGGTGGTTCGGGAGAGTCTGGTAGTATTTCTTCTCCTTTGCTGGAGTATGCTCAGAAGATATCAGCCCGAGTGATGATACCGCCTGAGATAATAACACCAGAGCCAGCACGAAAAATGAAGCAAGTGAGGAAAGGTGGTCCAAACAAGATACCAGCTGGCTCTACTTATAAGATTTATAAAGGTATCAAGGCTAAACGTGGGGGAGGTGATTCTACCCTGACTCCTCCCACAACCACACCTACCAAGCATGATGATAATGTTACGTCTTCAAGTGAAAAGTCTCCTCCTCCTTCACCAGTGGTTGATGTGGCTCCTTCCATTGCTCCTCCTCCTTTACAAGCTACTCCAGCTGTTCCGAGCTTTGTTGATGATTTGTCCTCACGTCACTCTGCCCCGCCCATTTTCTCACCTTCGGATTACGTCCCGGATCCAAAACCTTCTCCTCTCACTTCGGAGTCTCTCATTGTTTCCGTGACAACGAAGCCTCATGATCCAACGATAAACTCAATCAGGACCCTCCACTCTTATCCTAGCCAGTCCTCTTCTCTACTCCATTCCTTCTCCTCCTCTTTGCCTCTCAAACGCTCCCTCACTCCTCCTACTTACACCAACTCTTCTTATCCTCCTCCTCCTCTTATCACTTCTCACACTCCCTCCTCCTCATCCAGGTCCCTCTACTCTCCTCCTCTCTTCCCTAGGTCTGGTCCTCCTCCTCCTTTGGTCTCTGTCTCTCAAAGCTTAGAGAGAGGGAGAGTGGGTCCTTACAACAATAACTCTTTGTATTTCTCTTCATCTCCGCCTCCTTTAACAAGAGATGATAAGAGTGCATTAGTCACTCATCATCCAGTTATTGTTGGTCCTCCTCTCCTTGGGAAGAAAGCACCCAACGAAGAGCCCTTGGGTAAAGAGGTGATCCCCATAGACACTGGGACTGAGACCACAGAGGAAGAGAGAGCTAATGGCTTAGAAGAAAGCACAGAGGATGAGTCCAGTATTATTAATAATTACGCAAGAAGGAGGGGAGATGATAACAGCACTCTCCCTGCTACTAGTGAGAGTACTAATGAGTTGAGCCCTGCTGAAACCCCAAAGACTAAGCATAAGCGAAAACAGAAACTGGAGCTGGTCAAGAGTACAGGGTTTGATGAGGAGGTGGAGGGAGAGGGCGGACTGAAGATATTGAAAAAGAAAAAGAAGAAGAAGAAGAAAGAGAGAGAAAAAGAGAGAGGAGGGAGCGGGCATCATCATCACAAGGAGCATCATCGCTCGGAGAAAAAGAAAAAGAAGAAATCCAAGAAGAAGGATAGGTCGGACCACGAGACTGCATCACAGACTGAGGAAGATGATGATGAGATTACTACTGAAGCCATTAGTAAAGAGACTACTACAGGTACAGCATGTAGTGATACTGTTTTTTATTTAAGTGTATTTTATGGTATGATTGTGTATATGTTTCTATTGTGGCTAAAGTCACTGGTTTATTCTAGTGATTGTTAAAAGTGGTTTTTTAAAGTGTCTATGCCTACATGTACATGTACATGTACATGTATATGATTTTATTCCTTTAGGCCACTCGAAGAGAAATGTTTCACTGTACAGTGTTATCACAAGAGGTAATTGAACCATTCCATAATTGTATTGAGAGCTTGTACTCGTAGACATAACAGCCCACACTGTGCTATGTGGTACCAACTTTAATATAATATTGAATTAATTGTTCATTGTGGCACATATTGAAATTTTAGTTTTAGTATTGCTCTTTCCCCCCCAGGGGTGACATACCATCAGTTGAAATGGGGCATATATAGAATGACCTTATTAGTCCCACACCCGAAATCCCATGCCACGCCTGTCCATGAGACCACGCCTCCCTCTTCCGAGAAACTCACCACGCCAAGTGAGACTTCGTTAATTTTTGTTTTGTTTATAATTATTGTTTATTGCTTGTAGCGAGAGACAGGGAGAAGGAGGAGTCTGTTTCCACGACGACTCGTTCCCTTCGAAGTAGCGGTAGGAAGAGACAGAGAGATACAGAGGAGGAGAGAGAGGACCAGGACCTGTCACAGCAACAGTCACAGGAAGAGGAGGAGCCTATTGTCACTAAAACCAAGAAAACAAGGAAAGGAAGAAATAGGACGCAGCAGGTGGAAGAAATAAACCGAGTCCCTCATCCTCCTCCTCCTCAATCTGAAGAAGCAATGGAGGAAAGGGAAGAAAAGACTAATGATTGTGAAGGTATGGTTTTTGGACATTATACATTACTATTGTGTAAATTCTATCTATTTATACTCTCTGCTGTACTGTCTACCATTCAATGCTCTGAGTGGATTAGTGTATTGTAATGACAATTGTTTATAAATGTTTGGTTAAGGAAATACACAAACTTGTTTCTTTTATGTACACACACATACTCCAGACTTCACTGGGCACTGGACAAACACTTGATTGTGTATGTACACGCGTACATGCGCATTTGTATCTACATAACTTGTATCTGTTTTGACATTAAAGTACATGTATCATTGCCTTTATAATCAATCAAGAATTAGCTCCTATAAGAGGGCAATTTTTATCTGATGCATTTCAACTCTAGTTAGTGTGTTCCTCAAAGCTGTACCATTTCACAACTTAGTACTCCTTTAAACGAGAGTATACTCTTGCTTTAAATGGTCTTTACTTTTGCCTTGCCTTTAGTTTTATTTCAACTGTTTTTATGAAGAATTCTCTCAGAGCTATTTTTGTGAAATATTATGATATACTAACTTTTGGAGCAAATTTTAAAATTCTTTTAAAATTCCAAACTTGATCGGAATCAGCTCAAACTTTCTATGCAACATAAGTACATGTACATGTATATATATCAGAAAAAAATATAAAAAGGGAGAATTGTCTTTTTTTCATTTTTGCTGAAATTTGGCCAGTCATTCTGCACTATAGTACAGGGTGACTGGCCCGATTTTTTAGCAACTTTAAAAATTTGTAAAAAATTCAAATTTGATCGGAATCAGTTCAAACTTTCTACGCAACATAAGTACATGTATATACATCAGAAAAAAATATAAAAATGGAGAATTGTCTTCTTTTCATTTTTGCCGAAATTTGGCCAGTCACCCTGTACTATAGTACAGGGATTTTGGCCCAATTTTTGAGTAACTTTAAAAATTCATAAAAAATCCAGTTTTGAACACTGAGTCCATTAATTTTGTTCACATTTTTTTAGATGATATTCCTCCATCTTTCTCCATATTTGAGTTGCGTAACAAACTATTTCTTGATTACCCTCCAAGAACAGTTCACGCTTTGACTTACAAACTGAAGGCAAAGACCCAAAGACCTCCGCTAAACTGGGTGAGTATTTCTGCGGCATAATCTTTTTAAGTTCTTCTTTGCTATAGATTCATGTACTGAGGCATATGGGGGGACTGCCTGAGAACTGTCATACTTGTCGTCTGATTGACGTTGAGGTTGTGAAGCAGATGTGTCAACTGTATAACATACCCGTACCTCACTCTATCACGCTCCTCCTCAACGACACACTGTCAGAGAAAAGAAAAGGTACATTGTACATGAATTTAAATATTTGTCATATTTTCTCTCCCTTTCTCTCTCAGTTTATGATTTGAGAGATGTGGATCCTGTTTCCTTTATATCTAATTCTGAGATACTGTCTCTCAGGGTGCCTAAATGTGATTTCAATGCTACTCTACCAAAAAAGAAATCATCGCGTGAATCAAAGTACCTCATTTATAATTATACTCATCTACACTAACACTTACTCTTTTTCTTTATCTCCTCTCAGAGCTCACAAACTCATTCCTAAAACTAAAGCTAGTGATAGTATCGTGACCACTCCCTCTCAATTAACTGACGACACTCAGTCCCAACTGACAGAAGAGGATGAGATTGAAGAGACAAAATTGCCAGCTCCACCTCCTGCCCCGCCTCTTTTAATCACCCCCAGCTCATCTAATGACTCACCAAGACAACCCAAGTAAACTAATATAATTCACTTTATTATTTTATTATTCATCAATAGACCGTCGTCATCTGGTTCAAACCCTAACTTAGCTGCAGGAGGAGGAGCAGGAGGGAGCCTCCGTAAGAAGCCCTGCCCTCATTGTGGTGTTAGCATGCTCTGCAAATCAAAGAAATGCCGTAACTGCGGGAAACTTTTCGGAGTCTTTACTTTTGGGCGTCGAATATGTACGATGTGTGGTCATATTAATTTGGCTCGCATGGCAGCTTGTTTTAGGTGCTCTCATCCATTGGATAGGGCCCCTAGTGCTCACCCTAAGGATGTCATTAGTATGTTAAAATTAACATAATGATTTGACATTATGTCTCTCTGTATTATTCTATTCTATTTAGATCCTAAGGAGTATGTTGATACTGGAGGGAAGTGGCCAGCCTCTAGCAGCAGTAGTAAGGTTGATTTCAAGTTTGGTGTTAAGAGACGAAGGAAGCATCACACGACTCCACCTCCTGTACCCAGGACCAAGCACTCACATGCTGCTGGAGGAGGAGAGGAAGGAGGAGCTAGTGGTCCTGAAACCATTGATGATATATTTAATGAGCAGCTCGACAGTCCACCTGAAAAGAAAAGGAAGAAAAGGCACGAAGGTAGTACACTGACTACACTCCTACTGCAACTAGACCTCACCTCTCTCTCCTCTCTCTCTTCTCTCTCTTCTCTCTCTTCTCTCTCTCTCTCTCTCTCTCTCTCTCTCTCTCTCTCTCTCTCTCTCTCTCTCTTAGGTTATAAGTATGGTAAGATACCGTGGTCAGATGCTGACTTGGCACTTGTTATTACTTCCCGTGGAATACCGAAATTCTGTTTACAGGTAAAATACTAATAACATTACCATCTAATAGTAATTATCATTAATAATAAATTATCATTACCATATTTATGCATCTGTACATGTATTTCTTTACTACAGGAGATGTGCAATAAGGTATTGAAGTATCACAATAAGAGTGATGTTTTTGAGTTGGTCAAGAACCTTCACCTCTCGCTAGAGCAGGGCAGCACTAACTTACTCAAGAAGCTCCAAGCACTTGGACTTCACCCCAACAGGTAACATCATTGTATTAGACTCTCCTATAACCACACTCCTTTTAAAGGTCACCGATATGCAAGTTGATATCATCAGAGGATCTCTTTGCTCTAATGGATGCTCTTGAAGAACCTGTACCTGAAGAAGTACATCAACACTTGGAGACTATCAGTTCCCATAGCACTCCAATGGTAGGACAGAGACTAAGAGAGCATCACTCACTATCTTTGTTGTTTCATAGAGTCCTGATTCACTTAATTCCGGTGATGTTGCCAATGCATCTCCTTCTCTGACAGTCCCTGGTTCATCTTCTCACAACCACACCTCTCACCCTCCCCACCCTCCTCTCTCTGGCTCCAGCTCCCTCTCACTGGTCAGAGGAAAGGAAGCAGAGACCGAGAATGGTTTGTTGTTTTTTGTCTTGTTAGTGTCCTGTAGACAGGGTGTTAGTCAATGTCATGTGCATGTGTGATGATGATAATAACTACTGTAGCGTAATCTATAGTGTTATACTCTTTATAAAAAATAATGATAGGTTTATACATATATATACTAATTATTTAGGAGTTATGACTAGATCTATTATTATTATTATCATTTTCTATTTCAACACACATTACAGAGTTTGAGTCAACACTCCATGACATAAGGTGCAGTGATGGTCAATCTCTTTCAATGCTGAGGACATGGAATGGAGAACACTTCTTGTGTCTTCTTGAAGTGTGGAGACGTTATTTCCCCGAGGTACAGTAACTACTCATCTTCCTAAGACTTACATGTACATGTATGTACATATACATGTACATACATACATGTATGCATATGTACATACATGTATTATACACATGTATTGATACTCATTAGGTTAACAGGAGTCATTTGACAACAGTTATAAAAAGGTTACTGCTAGAGACACAGATCCCAACCACCCAACAGACCAATCTCCTCAGAGCAGCCAATGTCATATCAATGAGGGGAGCCCCTGGTAGGCTAATAAAACTGAGGGACGTCCAGAAGCTTATGGATGACTTTGGAATCCCGATTAGTGTCGGAAGGCAATACGATGAAGACCCAAAAGTATATTAAAGAGTCTAGTATGTATATTTATCTGCTTGTATTTGTAGTTGGATAGTAGACTTATTCCAGCATCAAGGCTACCACGCCGTTCATACTTATCATCATTAATGACTGCAGATAAAGCTGAAAGTAAGAGAGAGAGACTAAAGTAGAGAGACTGATAACTCTTCTTACTTTTAGTGAAAGAATATTCTGATTGCATGAAGAATATAGTTGATCTTGTTGAGTCTGCTGATATCCAGTCCATACTTGATGGAATTGCTACCAAATCAAATGAGGAGAGCAACGGAATGGAAATAGAAATTACAGGTGTGTCTCTCTTTGTGTACATACTTTTAATTGTCATTTTACGACTAGATTTTTTCATAATTTCTTATACCACCCTTTTCCATAAAATTCTTTTCTCTCTCTCTCTCTTTTACAATGTAGCTCTTTCTGATGAGCTTGATCTGTTACAGCGCTCGCTCCACGAGGGTAGAGATCTTTGTCAGGCTCTCTCGGATGAGATATCGTTCCTCACTGTCATTAGTTATACCAAGATGTCTGAGATGTCACGTTTATCAAAGCTCTCCATTCAATCGCTCCACGAATTGGATCCTCTTCTTGACGCTGTACAATTAATGGAGCTTGCTTCTCAATAGAATTAAACTATTCCTTAAGCCTAATGTTGGATTGACTTTTGAAGGATCAAAATTTTCTTTTTTTTTCTTTCTTTATAGGAACATACAGCCATGCACTTACAAATGCAAAAACTTATTGTTTTGTCCTTTTTCTCTCTTTATATCTTCTCTCTTTATATCTCCCCTCTTTCTATCTCCCCTCTTTATAACACCCCTCTTTCTCTCTCTTTCTCTGCTCATAGATGCCTAATTGGAAGCAGTCACTGCTCAAAGCTGAGACTATTAAAATTAAACATTTATTATTAGCATTATTATTGTTGGTAATAATAATGATAGATCTATTAAATAGTATTCTTTTCTTGGCATAATCAAAGCTGTTGTGGGTTGATTTTAAATTTGATGTGGGAGGGCCTTATCTGCTTAGTGAGACGTGAAGAAGCCAGCAAGTCATTCTCTGCTCGTTTGTATTCTCTTCTCTTTGTATGAAGCAGAGGAGAGCCAGCACTTCTTGTGTGCTGTCTATCATTTAATGAGATTTTTAGGATATCGAATTACTGAGGTTATAGGTGAGTATGAACGAGCTCTTCAAAAATGCTATTACCTTTCGACTTGCAGAGATACATACGCTATGCCTGACCCCTTCTACTATCCACTGGTAGAAAATGAGATAGATATCAGGAATGGAACTGGATCTGGCAGTAGCAGTTCACCTACAGTGAGTCTATAGTGTATACATACATACAGTTGCATTATCTGGGCTATGGAATTTTTTTGTACATTAACTTTAAAATGATATGATTATTATTTGGACTGTCTCTTTTGTAATTGCAGTCCTCATCCCCAACCTCATTGTTTGAATTCTTGACTGAGCATAAAGTTGAATTCATTGCTGGAGGTGGTACTCTACTCCTCTGTATCCTCTTCTGTCTCTGTTTCTGTTGTATTTGTCTCATGTGTTACATACGTCTCAAGAGAAGACACTCAAGCAACATTATTCACACTTTTCCTAAATTTAGGATACTGGATGCACCAAATCCAAACTTTAGGAATGACGGTAAGAGGAAGGGGCGAGTGAGGAGGGTGTCACGTGAAATTGGTGTGGCCAACGATACTGTGATTGCAGTCATGCATTGTTGCTCACTTATGCATACCAAACCACTAGAGCTTTTCTTCATGATTCAGCCATCAATTATATTGAAAGGTGTCCTTACCATCATTGTTATAGTAACGGTATTATATAGTGGCGTGAATGATAAGATCATTTTAGTAGTATCAACTTTGAGCACATGATAAATAATGTCTTTCATTACCTTTCTATACTTTGACACTGTTGACCTAGATTAGATCAGTAATGTAATATATTTATTTTGAAACTTAACAAAACAATGTGATATGCATGTATATACACACAAACATCTACAGATGCAGTTTCACCTTACCAGCACGAGCGTGATGATATACCACTCACAGAGTCAACCCGCACTGGTACTGCTAATGTTTCAACAGTCACCACACCTAACCATGGTACCAATAACGTAATAACTCTACCTCAACCAGTGCCCAGTACTAGAGGATACACAGTGAGTACATGATAATGCATAGACACTTACAAGGCATCAGTTTACTACACACAGAGATGGGCAATAAATCTCACATTTTCTCTTCCCGCCTCATTTACTTTATATGTATATGATGTGTATAGAATAATTCCCTGTATTATATAGATATCTGGCCCTGAATATTCATACGCTGATGCTGATGAGTTGAGACTAATGACTGCAACAGGTGTCAGATCAGGAGGTGATGCTGAGGTACTACACTATATATACAGAGCTATCATTATTCATAGGACCAGCACTATAGCTTTAATGCCCAGTATTAAGATAATAAGAGCACCAGTGTGTATAATGGTATTGCTACATTGTATTCAATAGTGGCTGGTGGTGTTTATCAATTGAGACTTGCTCTAATTTGTCCCATAAGGAAGATACACTACACACCACACACTGTTACGATCATCCATGTACTTCCCCAATACCTGATGCAGTACATATGGATGACATTTGTGTAAACTTTCTATGTGTACATAGCATAAGTATAGCATTGTGTATCAGGGAATGTAATAGGAAATTTTATAAAGCTTGTTTTAGTTATGAAATTAAGCTCATATTTTGTTTATTTTTTAAATATTTTCTGTAGGAGTACTTATATGCACGTAGTGTTGAAATAACATCAAAGACTCACTCATTACCGCATGGGGTAAATATAAACTATTAGTTTGCAAGAATTAGTAAACTTTGTGGGCAGTTGGCCTTTTAATGTAAACTTAATTTTAACATTAAAGTACCGTATAAGATGATTTATTGGAGAGAGTAATATTTGGCGAATTTGCCTGTGGAAAGTGAATTGGCAAATTTTATATAGGTGATTTTGTGCCACGTGCCATAGAGCATGCTCAGATTGAAACAAAATGGCGGATTTTATATTGGTGATTTCTTCATAGAACCGCCAATCCCCAATATTAATTCCTCACCAATGAATCATCTTGTGTAGTAATAATGTTGGGCTCAGAATTGCTGAATTCCGCCAATATTTACTGCATTTTTCTTCCTATTATTTTCATGTTTGTTATTGTAGTCATCAAGAACACCTTCTGCCTATTCAGAACCAAATGAAATTATAGGAAAGGTATACAGCAATGTCCTTTTATTTATTTATTTATTGTGTTTATATTATAGTATGGCAGTATAGCTACTACACCTCCTCTATCTCCTGTCTGTTCACCTCAGAGAAAAGAAATGTCAGAATCAGTGAGCAAATAAAATTTTGAAAATATTTTATGTTTTAATTTCTCTGTGCTACTTTTGACAGTCTCCTCCAGCATATGAAGGTCACTATATGACACCTGCAGCTGATACAGAATCACTTTATGCTCAAATCAAATCATTAAAAGTTCGACAGTTAAACAAAGCTGACATTACGTGAGATTCACATATGATCTTAATTATTATAATATTGTTGTTTTAGGACCCAAGAAACATTAGGGACTGGTAATTTTGGTGTGGTCTTAAAGGGTCTGTGGAGTACAGAATCTGGCCTGGAGCCAGTGGCTGTGAAGACTCTAAAAGCAAATACAACTAGTACTATTATCAAGTTCCTCCAGGAGGCGGCTATCATGGGCCAGTTTCATCATAATAATATCATCAAGTTGTATGGAGTAGTCACCTCTGGAGATCCAGTGAGTAGTTATGTGTAGTTACATTACAATAGTCCTTCATTCAAATGCTAATATTAGGTCATGATTGTATTGGAGCTCATGGAGCTAGGAGATTTAAGAAATTACCTTAACAGCATAAGAATAAAGTGAGTGAAGATAAAAATGAATGAATTGAATGTAACAATCTTTTATATAGGGATCTCTGTAGTGATCCTAAATTACCGGCTCTACTGCTCAGTTTCTGTCGTCAGATTGCTTCAGGTATGGAGTACTTGTCTAAGAAAGGGTTTGTACACAGAGACCTGGCTGCTAGGAATATATTTCTGAGACAAGACCTGATTTGCAAAGTAAAGCTCTAATATCACTACTCGGAAGCATTTTCCTTTCTTTCATAGATTGGTGATTTTGGTTTAGCTCGTGATCTGATGGACGAAGAGTATTATATTGCAACTGGTGGGAAAATACCCATCAAATGGACAGCACCTGAAGTAATAGATCTCTAATGTATTTATTTATTCACTCCCGTTTGTTTGTAGGCTCTCACTTACAAGAAATACTCAAGTGCTAGTGATGTGTGGAGCTTTGGTGTGTTAGTGTATGAGATATGGTGTCTGGGACAGAAACCATTTCAAAACAAAACAAATCAAGAAGTAATTTTAGCTATTTTAATGAGTAATCATGAGTCACTTGAAATATTTGGCATGTGTCCTGTGTTTCCTAGAAATAATAGTAACTTCAATTAATTTAATTTAATTTTCTTAGAAAGAATTAATTGCTACATGCTTTCTAAGAACTCTTGCTATTTTTTGTTTTTAGACTCTTCGACAGATTGAGGATGGTTATAGACTTCCTCCTCCTCCAGGCTGCCCCCGTTCGTTATATGAGCTAATGATATCTTGTTGGTATGTTATTATTTTAAAATCTTATAACTGATTCCAAAAATTACATTCAAACAGTGCTCAGACATTGTGTCCAAACATTGCTTAATTTGATTTGTCATTTCTATGAAACAATCAGACAGAGTTTCCACGAGATTTTAGCATATGCTCATGCAGCTTCTTGTCAATGGATATGGGCCTGAGCCCAGTCTATAGTACAGGGTATTTTGGCAAAAAATTACAATGAGAGAATCTCGGTTTTTTTTATGCATATACATGTTCTTATGTTGTGTAAAAAATTAAAGTTGATTCCAATCAAGTTTAGTTTTTTATGAATTTTTTAATTTGCTCAAAAATTAGGCCAGCAACCAAAGGCTATAGCCTTTGGCATTTGGCCAAATTTTGTCAAAAATGGCTCAAAAAGAATTTTTCATTTTTATAATTTTTTCTGATACATATACATGTTTTTATGTTGTGTGTCAACTTTGAGCTGATTTCAATCAAATTTGGATTTTTTAATGAATTTTTTAAGTTGCTTCAAAGGCCATGATCATGTACTATCATAGTGCTTGCCAGCTTAAGAAGCTCATGCTGTTAGCTCAATTAGCATGCTTCTGGGAATTAAACATTGGTTAAAATTTATGTTATTATTTTTAAAATTACGTTGTTCAGACAAAATGGTAGAACAATGTAGAAATGGTCAGACAATTGAGAAAAATGAATTCTGATACACATCCATTGATCTCCAGTAATTAAACGAAACTATTCCTTTCCGTAGGAATCCTGAAGCATCAAGACGTCCGTCATTTGAAGCACTCCATTCTCTTCTCTTAGGAGACGAAATGATGCTATTGCAATGGAGTGATAGTGACAAAGAAGCTCATCCTGAAGCAATGCTCTTAGGATCAAACTTGAAGGTCTCTGAGGGATTGTACACTGACTTGCAGTTAACTTATAATATGTCATGATGATAGTTTCATGAGTTTCTATTATTGTGTTTTTACTCTTTGTACTGTTAAAGCAACATTCGTAGTAATAATTGTGATGTACAACTGATTTTGTAAACATTTTCAATGCCTTTGAATGCTGTCCTTGGTTAATCTGGATTTATTGTTAGTCAAGCGAATCATCTTTGGTCATAGTTTTTGTTTAATTCTTCAATTTTTAGTTTTAGTTTTAGACTTTATTTCAATTTTAATTTAGTTTTAGTATGAAACCTGAATATGTTATAGCTCTAGTTATAGTTTAGTTTCAGCCTTTGATTTTCATTTAGTTTTAGTTTAGCTTTAGTTTTTTGCTTTCAATATAAATTTAGTTTAGTTTTAGTATTTAAAAAAAGTTTTAGTTTTAATAAAAAAATTACAAAATATATTAATATACCCCACAGCACTAGCCATTTTCTTAAATTACAAGGGCAATGGGTTAACCATGGGTAAACCAAGTAACCTGTGACTATGTCAGGTGTATATAACATATGCATGCATGACCAGTAACTACCAAAATATATTTTAGTTTCATTTTAGTCTATAGCATTTAATTGTAATTTTAGTATCAGTTTTAGTTTTATTTGAAAATTTCAAATTTTAGTTTAGTTCTTTTACACTATTTAACTTTTAG